CACCCGGGTCCACCGAGTTCGTCTCTCTCGCGGAATCGCGCGCACAGTGTACACCGGTGTAATAAAAACGGCGACGAGATTTCTGTAAATACGCGGTCGAGACTTTGTAAATAGGCGATCGAATTGATTATCGTGCTACGAGCGAGAATCCGGAACGGAAACGTCGTTTTCGCGGCCTGGGATGACTCTCGTCGAGTCCCCGACCGAGCTGATCGACGAACGATCACGGGAAGTGCCAACAACAATGTCCAATCCCTGTAATTTGTCCTTCGAGCATAATCGAAACGTTGATCATTTCTATCCGCGTGGAAGCGGGTGTTCGGTTAAATCGACCCGACAATAAGTGAGCCAGCAGACGCGTCTCGATGGAGGGAAACAGGATTCCTGGCCATAACCAGATTCTGTCCCCTTCGGCTGAAACGCTTTCGTCACGTTAATTCAACAATCAAACTTTCTTCTCCGCGTATGTTAGTGAGATAGAACAGGTAACATTCGATTGACGGCGATTCCGAGTCGCCGAAATTAGCTTGATCGGGTGAAACTTGGTGAAAGTCACCCTTGATTATCGAGCAAGTAGAAGCAACCGAACGCGTCTTTCCGTTCTCATTCTTCGCGAAGGAATAAATCGCAGATTTGCCGAAGGAGACGAGATAGACGACGGTGGGCCTCCCCGGAGTGCTTTGTCCATCGCCCGGACGTGCACACAAAGCGAACAGCGACACCCAGTTCGCGAGTCATTTTGCAATTGCATCCATAATTTTACTCTGTTTTCCGAAGCGAGGACTTACATAATTTTTGCATAACAAAGCGATGAACGAACGAAGCGCGTAAAGCGACAAAAGCGTGAGCGAGAAAATGTGTACGAAAAATGGGAGGAAACGAGAAAAAAAGAAAGACAAGCGCAGTAGATGGCGATAACGGCGATTATGATTTAGGCGAGTTTTTATAATCCGACTAACTGCTTTCTTGCGTTTCTGTCGTTCCGTTGAACACTTGTCTGTAAGATACGTCGTAGCGCGTAGAGGGAAACCACGTTTCTCTGAAGTAACGATGACGGAAAATTGCGGAACAAAACAAAAGTGGGATGCGCAAACTATCGCGATCCAGCGTACGCACATATATAGTTCTATCACGATTTACGAATCTTTATTTTGTACAATATTTAATCCTTAGGTGAGAGAAAGGGAGAGAGAGAAAGGGAGAGAGAGAAAGAAAGCGCGCGAGAGAGAGAGAGAGAGAGTGAGAGTGGGAGAGAGAGAGAGAGAGAGAGAGAGAGAGAGAGAGAAAGAAGGCGATAGGAATATCTATTGATAATGAAATTCGTGTTATGGTTGGCGGTAAAAATGACATTCCGCGACATATATATATTATATGATCGTATATAATGTACGTTATCATAACGCGCTTTAACAGTCTGAAGAGAAGAGAAGAGGAGGAAGAGGAGGAGGAGGAAAACTTGTCAGATAAGACCTTTTACTTGATGTATTTATCGAACGTACATACAATGACGTCTATAATATATTGCAATAAAAAGGACTAAAACCATTAACGAAGTTTCATTTCATGTTTCTTTTCGTACACAAAGGAAAAAATTTCTTTGGATTTGGTTCGCGTGTTTACTTGACTTGGATTTGTTTAATACAAACAACGCAATTTAATATCAAATTTAATATCAATTTGTTTGAATGAAAATGTTTCATCATAGTAAAGCATGTGATTTGGTAGAAAAAAAAAACGGTATTTAATAACCAAAACATTGAAATATATAAAGCTCTCGATATTATTCTTTCGTTATTTTTCATACGACTTTATCTGAGAGACAGAACGAAGATACATCTCGCACAAATATTTAAAAGACATCTTAGAAACGTCCCAGGGATATCGAAAATCTATGGGACGCCTCTAAGGATGTCTTTTGAACATTTGTGCTACATGGTATTAATCGAGTAAAACGGGCCAAAAGTTGTCATAAATTTAAGAAAATCACTCACGATTAACCGCGTCCTCGTGTTGATAACCCGATTATTGCGAGTATTCGGACGTTTTCTAGTTGCTTGTACGACATAACGTGCGACGAAGCGAAGTTTTTAAACGCGCGAAATTTCCAACGCCGAAGCAAATGCAAGACTGGAGCACCGTGCGCGCGAATAGCCGTGCGATAACGGTGACATCTGTGATTAACACCACGAAGTCTCATAACGGACGCACAAGAGAGATGTCGCCACTTTGATGTTGAACGACGCGAGACGGACAACGGTGTTGACGAGGTGCCGACGAATAAACCCGTGCGAGTGTTTTCTGTTTTGTCGCGATAATATCATTCAACATGCCAATCTTGGATAAGAGAAAAGGGGACGATATCCTGGCGCTGGTTCCTGCGTCGAAAAGAACGAAAAATGAGGTGGTGTTCAGCAGCAGAGAGAAGGCGGTCGTGCAAAGCGTGAGTGTAACCTGCAAATGTCTCGCTGCGAAAGTCACAAGTTTCAAAAATTGTAACACGTACGTGATGATTAAAGGGTCCGCCACGAACGTCCTCCCTAACGGCGATGATAATGTTGCTCGAGGGACACCAAGGAGACATTTTTTCCCTCGAGTTTCATCCGGAGGGTCAATATCTCGCGTCAACGGGCTTCGACCGGCAGATCTGTAGGTCTCGCACGAACAGTTGAATCGACGTCAACGTTGAAACGTATGCCCGGCCCGTCTAATAAAAACCGTTGTCTTCCAGTTATGTGGAATGTTTACGGAGAATGCGAAAACATCGCCGTCATGTCCGGACACAGTGGAGCCGTGATGGAGTTGCACTTCAGTCCGGACGGCAATCATCTTTACACAGCCAGCACGGACATGACGCTAGGTTTGTGGGACATAGTGGCTGGGACACGTATCAAGAAGTTGAAGGGTCACACTCTGTTTGTGAATTCTGTGTCTGGCGCAAGGAGAGGGCCCACACTGCTATGTTCAGGTAGCGACGACAGCACGATACGTGTCTGGGATCCGAGGAAACGCGGCCAATGTTACACGTTGAATAACACGTATCAGGTAGGCGATCATACTTGTCCGACGATGGAAAATACGATAGTTGTTGGTAGTATATATAGTTTCCTTGATACGCATCGCTAGGTGACTGCGGTAACGTTCAACGACACAGCGGAGCAAGTGATCAGTGGTGGTATCGACAACGACATAAAGGTGTGGGATCTCAGGAAAAATGCGGTGCTCTATAAGCTGAAAGGACACACCGACACAATCACGGGACTGAGTCTCAGTCCGGACGGCTCGTATGTACTCTCCAACGCCATGGACAATACATTGAAGATATGGGACGTGAGGCCATTTGCGCCCTTCGAACGTTGCGTGAAGATATTGTCCGGACACCAGCACAATTTTGAGAAGGTACGTCTCGTCGGTACGATTTCGAATATTTGTACGCTTAGCTGCAAAATAGCCGGCGACGCGTCGATAATGGATTGACAAAAAAACAAATATCGCTTAACCAGAATCTTCTGAGATGCGCGTGGTCGCCAGACGGTAGTAAAGTGTCGGCGGGCTCGTCGGACCGATTCCATTACATCTGGGACACCACGAGTCGTAGGATCCTGTACAAATTGCCGGGACACAATGGATCCGTGAACGACATCGATTTCCACCCGAAGGAGCCCATAGGTACGTCCGAAGTTGTAACTATTTTTTTCACTAGCATCATTGTGACGTCACGTCACGTTTGAAGATGTCTCACTGCTACTGACAATCACGTACGCCCGAATATCGTTCAACAATATGAATTACATACTTTTAAGCATATCTTCGTACATATATTTTTTTTATCACAATTTTCACAGTAATCTCGCATTTTTTTCCAGTTTGTTCCGGATCCAGCGATAAGCAAATCTACCTAGGCGAAATTGAGGCGTGATAACGCCAACGTTCGCTCTTGTTTGTAATCATTCGTAGCTGTAAGCAAAACTACCTTGTGGACTGTCATCATTCGCAATATACATTCGAACATCGCTGTTGATGATTTTGCAATATAATTATTTATTTCACACCGTTTCTCTATCGAATGTACACCACCTCTCTCCCGATCATGCGAATCCACGGTGCTCGTCCGGGAGCCGGGGAACCTCGAGGTCTGCGTGACGGAGGTCGGCCGGTCGGTACAGCAGGAATTCCGGTAGGTGCTCCGGGTCAATTTAGGTGGCGCTCTTGGGCGCTCTGCGTTCGTGAACAGCTGCGCGCTACCTTCAGTTTCGTGTCTCCGATTGTACAAAGTACGTGCGCGCATATCGCTCGTATGCAGTAGAAAGAGAGAGGCGACGAGAGGAGGAACGATAGTGCGCGCGCGAGAAAGAGAGAAAGAGAGAGCGAGAAAGAGGGACATGACAGCTACAATATTGCGATTGTATTGGTGATTAATCAAAGGCCTCGCGAAAATGGCCGATGGACGCGAGTCACGGGTGTTTTCCACGAAGAGCCTGTACGAGCTGAGCGTGTCCGCGGTCGCGGACAAGTTCTCCAGCTACAAGGCGTATCTCACTTACCTGCCCGAGAACGTGCTGTTCGATATCTACTATCAGGTAAACATCGGAAACGTCATGGCAGCGGGCGGCAGTCCCTGTCGTCGCTCGCTTGTCACCGTCATCGCGCGTGATGCAGTTGTATTTGTTTTGCCCTTCGCCGACGATGCGTTCTCCCTCGTCCGAGCGGTCTCCCGCTCCTCCCTCCTCCGTTTCCCCCGTTGCAAAACGAGCGACCGTCCGTCGTTATCGCGGCCGTTTAAATCGCCAGGCCGTTTGCGTGAGTTTCTCCCGAGCTCGAGACGGTGTTTCCTCTCGAGCGAGAGAGCTCGGCCAAGCGATTATTATTCTCGTCGTGAGTGATCCCGAGACAGTCCGGCAGGACAATGCGATCCCCTCGAGTTCTCCCGACGACGACCAGCCGCGCTCGTTACCGGAGACGATCGCACGGTAACGACCGCCGCTCGTCCCCGCACGAGATGCCCCGTGTCGCCTCTCACATGGACAGATCTCCGTCTCTTTCTTCCAGTTGTACAGAGAGAAGAGACTATGCCTGCTGGGGATGGAGCTGAGCGACTTGGAGACTTTCTCCAAGATCCTCAAGGTCACCAACCGCCGGATACATCTCTTGCAAACCTTCCAGGTGATCCCACGAGACACGGATGTCTTCCAGTGTCTCTATTTGTCGTAATTTTGTTTTATCTCCCTCACATCCAACGTGCCCAGGGGTCGAACTTACAATACGTTTGTGGTTTCCCTCCTATAAAGGCTTTGATGGATCACGGGACGAAGGTGGGGAAGGAATTGGCGATCAACTATGACTTGTGCTGCTTCAGTGTCAGGGAAAATCCAGCTGAGCAGGACAAAATGATAAACCTCGGTCTGAGACTCGGCAGTTTCCTCAGCGACGCCGGCTGGTACGTGGAGAGCGAGCAAGTACTGTCGACCTGCAGGAGTTTGTGTATCGCCTACAACCAAACCCCCCAGAATTGGTGCAGAACATTAGATTGTTGTCACAAGTAAGAACGACCGTGTGTGTCCATTCATGCGTATTCATGTGTACATATCTGCAACCGACGTAGTGTATAATATCATCAATGTACTTATTATTGTTATTATTGTACGTTCCACAGGCTGTTACACGCACAAGCGGCGTACTGTGCTTTCCGCGGGGCAGCGAAAACTCACGAACTCGCCGTAAAAATGATAGAACAATTGAAGAACGTGGGTTATTACGACAGCAATCACGCTGCGCTTTTTGCGGAGTTCAGCGTGCTATTCTTCATACGCAGTGAATACGATCAAGCTTACAGGTACGCGCGCCGACCTGGCCGGGTCCTGTTCTACGTTCCCACTGGCTCACGTTCCTCTCCGGTTTTCAGATGGAGCATAGAGGCGTTACAATACCTAAATCCGTCACTTCCCGCGCGAGTCATCATCGATGTTCTTAGACAAGCGGCGAAATCGTGCGTCGTCAAGCGGGAATTTCAAAAGGCTGGTTTACTGATCCGAGAAGCAGTGTACCTCGCGAGAGAAGTGTTCGACACGGATCACCCGAAGTACAGTGACGTTCTCATCGATTACGGATTCTATTTACTGAATTACGATAGCATCATCAATAGCGTATCTGTCTACAAGGTATGTTCCCGGCGGGGGCACGCACGAATTCCTCCTCGCCCACCGGCGGGATTCTAATGCCTCTACCTCTCTTTACCGCAGACTGCATTAGACATTAGAAAAGCGATATTCGGCAAGACTAATCTCCACGTTGCATTGGCGCACGAAGATTTGGCGTATGCTCTCTACGTTTACGAATACAGTTCCGGCAAGTTCGACGAGGCAAGGTAATCGATCACCGCGCCGCGTTCACGTCTCTCATTGCGATTAACTGATCCACCACTCGCCCTGCTCGTTTCGCAGCGACCACGCCGGACTAGCTATAGACATCATAGAAAAACTCTTACCTGCGAATCATCTGATGCTTGCGAGCGCTAAGAGAGTGAAGGCGCTCATACTCGAGGAGATCGCTATAGATAACGCGTCCACGCCGTTGTCCGAACAGAGCTTGTTGCTGAAATCTGAGTGTCTCCATTTGTCCGCTTTACAGTTAGCGAAGACCGCCTTCGGCGAGAAAAACGTACAAACGGCGAAGCATTACGGGAATCTGGGACGCCTGTACCAGAGTATGAGGAAGTTTCAGGTATCTCGGCTCGTCCCTAACGAGCGATCGGAAGTGGTCGCTCAACAATGTTAGACCCGCATCACACTATGGATTAGGATGGAGATTTTATTGAAATTTGGCCAATCAAAGCAAGTTTTACTGAACTCTAGCTTAGTTCTGCTCTGATTGGCCAAATTTTGATCCAATCTCAATCCTAACCCATAGTGTGATATGGGCCTTACGCTGTATGTATATATATATATATGTTTAATCCTCCGTTAATTGCAATATCCAATAGATGCATGTTCAGGTTACAATGTATCACCGTTGCTACACAGTCTCAAGATCAAGCTCGTCCTTGTCAATGTTTTTCCCTTTGTTCTTCACGGGTTTTTTTATACAGTATCTGGCCTATTAGTCAAATACTGTAACGAAAGAAAAATTGTTTAAGAAACAAAGGAAAATAAAGAGAAAATCAATGTGTCTGTGAGATACATTGCGATTAATGGAAGATTAATGAAATTTTGTTGGTATTATCTTTTATATAACGCATTTATCTAACGTTGCGCTGCATAGGAAGCGGAAGCGATGCATCTGAAAGCTATTAGTATCAAAGAGGAACTGCTGGGTCCCGAGGATTACGAAGTGGGTCTGAGCATAGGGCATTTAGCTTCCTTATATAATTTCCACATGAATCGTTACAGAGACGCCGAGAAGCTCTATTATCGTAGCATCGCGATCAGTGAGTATGTTTAGCATCGATCGAATCGTGACACGAACACGGTGACATTTCGTCATGAATTCCACCATACAGGTTTAAAGCTGTTCGGGAAGAGCTACAGCGGTCTGGAATACGATTATCGAGGGCTCCTGCATGTGTACAGCAAGTTGGACGATTTTGAGAAGATACTGGAGTACACGGACACGCTGACACACTGGAAGGAACTTAGAGACAAACACGCTCAATCTGAGGATCCGCCGATCGATCTGCAAAAACGTCCACAGCCAATCTCAGCCATACTCAATCTGTTCTTTTCTATGTGATAATAAGTGTGTCATTCGAATCTTACGTACATTGTATGTCGTCGAGCAAACTGTTGGTCTCTGTTGCGTTCATAAGACATTGGGCCAAAGTAGAAATTGTATAACTCACACTAGGAATTTATAAATCACCGATCCGGTCGTATGATTAACGATTGTCTGTCTTACGTCAATATTTTATATTACACGTACGGTAAATATCGTATTGACGTCGCAAGCTATTTCTTATCGGCTTGATAATTGAATTCAAGTGACACGTTTATTGGAAATACTCGGTGCATAAAGGAACTCGATTCAAATTCAAGATTACGAATATGCAAGGCTAGAGGCAAAGCGCAGAGGCAAACGAAGAGCAACGTGTGCGACGTTTAACACAGCACTTATAATCAATTATCTGCGCTCAAATTGGCCTTTATTTATCGGTTTTCTCGTCGTAACGATGATTGAAATTTAAGTTTAAGCTCATTCAAGTATAAGCTCATTATTTATCTTGAGATCATCGATGACGCTGCGAAACGAACGTTATATATGGGGTAATGCTTGAGTTTAATAATTACTTGAAATTGAAAATTCTGATCGCGTCTCTCACTCGATGTTGAGAATCAAAATATATATATTTTAATATTTTTTTTGTATTTATATATCTCATTTTAATATAAATTTTTTTCAATCGTTAGTTTTTGTTCATGTCTATATTTTATATTTTACGATGCACTATTTGTTGAGAATTTTATTTTTAAAGAGAACTGCCCCTCAGGTCTCGTGAGATATTTTTCTTCTTTGTTGTGATCGCGCGCTTAACAGACGCATTTATAATTTATTAATTTCATTGTTCATTTCGAAATTCCACGGATTTGTCGGTTCTCACTTATTGCGTATTTTCTAAGTAAAAAAAAACCAGAATATATATATATGTATGTATGTATGTATATATGTATGTATGTATGTATGTATGTATGTATGTATGTATGTATATATATATATATGCCTGTGTTAATAATATGATGTAATTAGGAGAATAGTTATTAAGCTTTTAAAAAATTTCGTGAGCTACGAAAAAGTGTTTTGTTCGTTTGGAAAATTTGTAAAATTTGGTAGCCAGAAATTCAAAAATATAATATATAAATTACAAAGCTACATATATACATATAATTTCTGTATATCTCTCAAGCATTTTGTTCCTATATAAATATAATAAAGTACGAATGATTAAATTATCGTTGCGTTAATGTCTTTGAATTGACGAAGATGTTTCGAGCAACTAGAAATAAAACATTTGCACTAGTTATTTAGAAATACTTATTCAATTTTATTGAAATTTATGGAGGAGTATTATACGTCTATGTGTAACATTTTTCAATCTTAAAAATTCCCTTAAGCAAATTAGATACACACCAAAAGTAATAACAACTCTATAACAAGACGACATTCACCTGTTGTGAACTTAACGTTACTTCCTTGTAGGACTAGAAAGTCAAATATAATAATAGTAAGTCCGACTTTGCGCGTTTTATCAACAAGTTGCAGACTCGATTATTACCGTTCAATAGGCTAAAGAGAAAAACAAGTGTAGAAATAGGATTCAGCGTATACGAGAAAACTTGTTTAACAAGTGCGTGGAAAGTAAATTTATGCAAAATTCTATTTAACGAAAATCTCTGCCGATTCTCAGTTACATCAGTAATTAAGATCAAGATATATATATAAGTCAATGTAACATAAATACTATCTCCTTTGGATAACTCACATACATTCAAAAGCTTTAATCTGTTTAAATTACAATAACCATTAGAGATAATACATAATTTTATATTTACACGATATTTGCTGTATCACTCCAATTTTCAGGTAATAGGAATCTTATCTAAACCCTTCACTCTCTTACACTATTATCAACGTTTCTNCCCCCCCCCTCTCTCTCACTCTCTGTAAACCAAGGAGAGTCATCGTTAGTTGAATTTGTAGTCAGTACGTCAGTCGAGGTATGCCCAATCAGCGATCGCTAAATTACCAAACTGATATTGCACATCTCACTGAACTTGAAAATTGTCCATAACTTTAGAACATTTAGTCAGGCGTGTGTGGAGGTTCTTGGCTGAAATATGGTGCGGTATCTTGCACTAATAAAGTATGACAAACATCACAGACTCTGGATGGTCTTTGTTTCGGCCCGCTGTTCACAATGTGTGAGAGGCAAGATTGACAAAATATATGGCCACAGTGACGGCAATGTACCTGCGTGAGACATCGAATCGCCCTTAGTTACATTTTTAATTGCTTTACGTCGATTTATCATCAGCACGAGGTCCGTATGCTCTCTCGGCTTACCTTCTTCTTTGTGACTGAGAACGTGGCGTGGCAGCTGGGACATTCTTCGACGTCCTCTTCGTGTTGCCACCTTACTTCGCTACCAGCTTGTCTGATCCTTTCCAGTTGTACCTACACAATGACCGAGAAGTATTATACACACGCATACACGAGTGCGCACGCGCGTGCGTTATATATTTTCAATTCGCTCAATTAACTCCTCGATCGACTTCGAATTCGATCTCCCTTGCCTGTAACGATTGTGACAATCTGACGAAGTCCTTCTGCACCGCCTCGCTGGTGTCCAGCTCTTGCTGCAGACTCGAGACTCTCTGCCGTAGTTCATTTATAGCTAAATCCGCGTCCTTCTTCTCCTTTTGGATCTCCTGCAGTCGTTTCTCCAGCTGGTCGAGTTTCTCCTCCCGATCGGCGAGCGTACGGTGATCTCTTATGTACTTCTCTAATTGTACTCTACAAATGAGAGGGAGAAAGACGGGAATATTAACGTGACGGTAACGCGGCGTTAAGCGAGGATCGCGATAACTTGCGATCGAACAAGCGATCCAACCTCAATCCACTTATCTCGTTCTTCAACACAGAATTATCCTGCTCCTTGACCCTGCTCTCCTGCTCCATTTGTTCCCTCAGGAGCGTCACTTCGTATCGCAACATCTCCCCCTTCTCTTGCGCAACCTCCTGGGCCACTCTAGCGGTGATCAAATCCTCGCGCATCCTCAGGAGACTGACGTGCAACTCCTCCACGGTATTAGGCATGTTGATACTTTCACTTTGCAGCTGTTGCGAGTGCTTGCTGTGCTTGCCAACGAGATTCTCGTTTTCCTTCTGCAGTCTGTAATAAATATGCAACTGGATTTTTCAACGAAACTTTACCGAAGACGCGATCGCTCATTCGTACAGAGCGCGACTGCGCTGAAATGGGTACGGTAGGGCACACCGCGAGAAAAATGTGCCTGTGTTTCGCTGAAATGATCTTACACAGTGAGGTGTCTCTGCACGTCCTCCCTGCCCCTCGTCAATTTACACAGTTCCTCGGACGCGTTCTTCTGAAACTGCTCGACGGATCTCTTCAATTCGACTAAGGTCTGCTGGGCCGTTTGCGAGGCGACCGTAAGCTCCGCGACTTTGATTTTATGCTCCTCCTTCTTCTCGTTCCACTTCTCTTCCATCTCTTTCCGGAACTCCACTTCCTTAGCTAGATCCTCCCTTTGGGCCTGCAGCATACGTTGCGTGTCCAACAGCTGCTTCTCCAAATCCTTGGCAGTCGCTTCTACTTTGACTAATTGCGCTTCGTAATTCGCGCACATATCACACGACGGCTCAAACGAGCCCGGCTCCTGCTGCCGTCTCTGTAATTGAGTCTCTTTGCATTTTTGCAGCTCGTCGTCGGTCGATCTTAATTTCTCTTTTAAAGCTTTTATCTCCTCCTCGAGCGGTACAACTAGCGAGCGCAAAACCTCCGCGTCCTCTTGCGCCTGCGAAGCCAGATAATTTTTACACCTGTCCGGACGAGACACAGTTCCTAGGTATATTTCTCTCTTTTTCTCTCTCTAACGATGAGTTCCGCGAGTATTTCTATCGTTACAAAGCAAGAGTGCCATTAATCTTTCTTCCAACACGAAGAGCTATATCGATATTTCATTTTTTCCTATATGACACACGTATCGATGTAGTTAAAAGTAGAAAAAAAAAACAGTTAAATGCTTCATGCAGTATTACGTGTACGTACATATTTTTTTACCTTCCGCATGCTCTCCTCTAAATAATCAGGACCTAAGGATAAAGAATCTGCACCTAATTGCGAAACCACTTTTCTAGCTAATGTTTTAGTTACTGTAGATAACGAGATTTGTGGCCCATCCGTCGGTGGGTCACGCGGCAACTGCGTTCTCAGCGACGCATTCTCCTCTTGAAGCTTAGAAAGAGCTAACTGTAACTTAGACACTTCGCTGACCAGATGTTTCCTTGAGCAAGAAGACTCCTCCACCGTTTCGTGTATAACCTGTTGCAACGACGCTATCTCTTCCTGAGCTTTCCTCTTCTCCATTATTAAGTCGTTCTGTACCTTAAGGTCTGCCACGACCAGCTGGCTCTTGGCTTCGTCCAGTTCATTCCTTAGTTTCAGGTTCTCCTTTTGCAGACCCATATTCTCCTCCAGTCTGCGTTTCAATTCCTCTGTGAAATTTGGTCACCGTCAGTTGCGGCGCTCCGCTCGGAACCCGACTGTCGCGAAACGACGATGGGGGCGAACCCAACGAACACTTCGCACGATGTACTCACCTTCCTTCTGCAGAAACAACTCTTTCATCTTGGCCCTTTGTACATTGAACTCCTCTCGCATCTTAACGTTTTCCGACTCCAACCTGTGGATCTTCGTCTGTGGATCCTCTGAATCGAAATAAGCGCTTTCTCAGTGAGAAAAGAAACGATCTCAGGTATCAGGGAGAGGGGATAAATATCAGCGGCCAACGAACCTTCGTCACCGACGAGGGCTCTAAACAAAATCTCACCCCGGTCGCCCCCGATAACTTACCATTTCCGTTTACTTTGATCGCGTTTTGTTCACCAGAGTTGGTCTCCATCGTTCGATTATTCAGCACTGATGAATGCGGAGCTCTCGTCGGGGTGGGTCACTGCCACGGGCTCGAGTCCGGGAAGCATATCTCGGAGAACCGCCGGGACTGGTTGTCTCTCGACGACGGCGACATGCCGCGCACGGTCTGTCGAGTTAGCCGAAATTCTACTGGCTCATAACTACGCGTCGTGTCCGGTTACGCAAGCGAGAGACCCGAGCGAATGCGAAACACCACGTAAAAATTACGATCGCGACAAACCCGCGATACGAAATCAACCACCGTCAACCTCTCTCTCGCTCGATCGCCCAGCAACCTGGCGACTCGCCGATACCACCTTATATCGCCGAATCTGCCCTCTCCGATTGCACTATCTGTACCTCGCGACCTTTCATCTCCCTCCCGCCGAACCGTGAATCACGCACCGTGTTCGTCTCAAGTGCGGAAAGTGCGGCCGAAACAGAGGAGTATCGTCACCATTTGCTGGTATGTCGATCACTATCGACACACTCTTGTTTCTCGTTCGACCGGATCGCTCGACTCTCGATACACGGGGTATTAAGGCCTTTGCACAATGCCAGGCAGCAGGCAACGGAAAATAACAAGAGGCAATAGATTTCCAACCTATCGGAAACCGTGTATCGATTGCCGTACATTCACACACGGTTTCCGATAGGATGGAAATCCACTCCCTGTGCTATTCTTTTCTTGCCTGGCATTGTGCAGGGACCTTTAGGCTTTGTGTCCGCGATGCTAGATCTCAGAGAGTGTCGGCCGGATATAAAGGTGACTAGAAGTCACTGGCAATTTAGTAACATCCTAGTACCTTTCAAGCGTATACTAACATAATAAATTCCAGTCCGTGTAAGTCCGGATCTCCAATAGGTGTGATGAGTTTGAAGCCGTAAGAAGTTGATCAATCACATTCCTTTATCGTGACAACCAATTGTGCTATTGACGTTTCTGATTAGCCGCCATGACAAAAGTTGTGCCTGCTTGCGATCGGCTCGTAATTAATATGAATTGACCATAAGACTCCAGCGTGCGCGGGCTCGCAATCTCCGTGTTGTCGTTAGCGCATCAAACCCTATGGCTGAAAGGCTATTTTGGCGGTCTCGCAACGAAAACAAAGAGTTGCACGAAGTAAGTGCCTTTGTGTAGTGTCAACGAAACGTATAATGATCTCAACTCGGCGAGGTGCCCGGATTAGATTAAACCTAGATCGAATCGAGACGGGAAAGTTCGATTTCTTAGATTTTGAAAGTGTTACAAAATCGCGCAACCGCAAATTTTACAGTTAACCACGTGAATTTTTCTGACGTGACGCTCTGAAACGGTCATTTCTTTCTCTCTCGTTCTGTCGGCGAAGTTCTCTCAAAGGTCATTTCACCGACGAAACTATTAAAGATAACAAGCGTTCGATAGTTTCACGACACCCAGTGTGCACGATTACGGTATGCGTCGCGTGCCCTCGCGCAGATAGAGATACGTTTCTTTTTCTTTCTTCTTTCTTCCCGAGAAAATCCTTATCGCGCCTTTACTGCGGCGGTGGTGACGATGTGTGTACGCGACTCGCAGCGCGGCCGTCGCGTTTCGAAACTCACCGTGGGCGTAAACATGTTATTGTCGCATCCTCGTCGCATGCCACCAATGTTGGAGAAACCCAAATCGCCAGCATTACCGGCGGTTCAGTCGCGTACGCGTTGATCTTGTAATGGCGATGTGATCGGGCGCGCGCGCGCGCGCGACAGACGTTTTCACAAGTCACCGTTCAAATTTCCAGCGAAGAGAAGTACTCACGGGGTGTCCTTTTGACGGCTCGGACAGGGATCACAGTTGTGCAAGCATACATTATTCCTCGGCAGCACGGCCGTATTGTCACGGTTTCGTCCGACAGGTGAGACTGCAATTTGTTTATGTCACGCATTTACGCAGTTGAGCACATCCGTGCGTCTCGGTGAATCATGCGCTAACGTGGACGCTAAATCAGTTATATTTACCGTCGCGATGCCGTTGAATCCAAAAATACGATGACGCGCAATTATACGTGTTCAAGTTAGAATTTATTTTCAGGGAGGGGTTAGCCAGTTCGTTACATACACCGACACAGACACACATGCATACCATGAGCGGTACATCCTGGGAGTCCTGTAAGCTGAAACCGACCGAGCCCGCTATCATGGAAAGTTTAAGCAGCATGATCCTTAACATGGAGGCAAACAGTGAGAACCTGTACCCGCCCGACTACAAAAAGTACACCGAAATGAATAATACTTGCACCGAGGGTCTTAATAATAACAAGAATAATAATAATAAAAATGTTAAGAAGAGTTTCTTACTGCTGGACGCGCAAGAGAAACTGATGGTTTCCAATGCTAAGGAGTTTCTACAGAAATTACACTGCGTCGATCAGGACGCCAAGGTGAAGGTCGTCTCGATATTCGGTAACACGGGCGACGGGAAGAGCCACACGATGAATCAGACTTTCTTCAGGGGTAAAGAGATATTCAAGACGTCGAACGAACAGGATTGCTGCACCTTGGGTGTCTGGGCGGCGTTTGATCCGGAACTGAACGTCATCTGCTTAGATACGGAAGGTTTGCAAGGTATAGCGTGTTTATTCCGTTCGCTTTGTGAGAGATCGTTTTCCGAACTCTAACGAGTCTTGTCGTTCATCCAGGTGTCACAAATTGCGAGAACGAGCGTATGAGATTGTTGCTCAAGGTGCTGGCCGTATCCGACATTGTTATCTACCGGATTCAGTCGGAGAGATTGAACAGGGATTTGTTCACATTTCTGGGCACCGCGTCGCACGCTTACTGTCATCACTTCAAGGCTGCCCTGCAGGCGGTGGGACAGGAAGACAGCGCGATGAATTCCATCAGCTCGATCGTTTCGAGCAAGCTTGGGCCTAGCATCATCGTACTGCATGAAACTAGACACACCAGGCCGTTGACCAACAGTACGCTTTTCTTTCTCTTTCGTTTCAAAGTAAAAATTTGACCGCGAGTAAGCTGTGTCCGCGACACGAATGCCCGTTGACCTTGATCGTTTCACCAGACGAGCCGGAAACCGCGGAGGACATCCTGAAAGCTAGATTCAAGCAGATGAAGCTCGAGATCGCGGCTTTCAGCTCGCTCAAGTACGTCGGTCTGCAGACGATGAACAACGTGACGGACTACAAGCAACTGCGGTCCGCGATTAAAGCCGAAGTGAGCAACACGGTGGTGCGCTTAGCCAGGAAGCCGCATCTCGTGTACAACGCACTGAAGATGCTGAACAGAAAGTTCTCCGGCGAGACGGAGAGTTCCACGAATATTCTGTTCCCGAATCAATACTTCACCTGTCCCATCAAGTGTCTGAGCTGCGGTAACAGGTGTGAGAACAGCGTGGGACACATTCGCGAGGGGAAGCCGCATAATATTAACGCCCGGTTAGTTTCGTCGACTCGTTCCGTTTTTCCCGCGCGTTCGAAAACAGTGCATGCGCCGTGCTCTGCGCCGATCGTCACGTTAACCGTGTTGTCGACGTTCGACAGGTGCAGGTACCAGCGGCAGTTCGAGAACATGGTGTACATATGTAGAAAGTGTTACAAGAACGGGAACGAAGTGGAGGTGAGTAAGACGGAGCAAGACGAAGAAAGCTGGTACGGTTTAGCCGTGAGCGCCTGGACGGGCTACACCATAGAGTGTCCGAATTGCGGGGAGGTGTACAAAAGCAGGCAGTATTGGTACGGGAACCGGAATCCGGAGGAAGTGGCGATACGCAAGAAGATCACGCACGTTTGGAATACGGTAAGCATCTCGCGACGTATCTCGTCCGGTGCTGTCGATCTCGACGAACCGGCTCCTCCGAGCATCGCCCGGAAATAATCGACACACCCGGACTCCGACGGCACTAATCTCGTCCCGATTAATCCCTTCTCGAGCTCCTGGAGCGATAATTCGCCGATTTCGTTCTTCCAGTCGAGTCACGCTGTAGCATCGAACAATACCGCGCAACGGGTAATCGATGGCGTTTCTTACATCACCGAGGCTGTCGCGAACGTTTCCCTGCAGCCGACGAAAGCGCTGACCGCTTGGGTCGCGGACCAGGTGGCGCCCGCTTATTGGCGGCCGAACCATGAAATCAAACACTGCCACAACTGCAAGGCCTCGTTCGGGCCGGCGGACGCGAAGCACCATTGCCGGGACTGCGGGGAAGGCTTTTGCGCGCAGTGCTCGTCGAGGACGAAAAGCGTGCCCGGCAGAAACTGGCACACGCCGGTGCGGGTCTGCGACAAGTGTTACGACAAGGAAACGAGCCACTGCAGCGACGACTTTGCCGAGGCCACCGAGGACGTTAGTATACGGAAAATGACCGAACACATCGCGTCGACCATCAACGTCGTCGGCAGTGTCTTCAACTATCCGAAAGGTAAGCGTGAAGAGAATATGTCGCGCTTTGTGCGAGGAATTTCTTTCACGAGCCCTTCACGGCTGAATTTGCCGAGTCGGCAGAAACAGATTTGACCTTGAAGCGACACACACGCGACGTCTGTCGTATCGATCATATGACGGGGTCAGGGTCGCGAGTAAATTACTAATTACTCTTTTAATTATCGTGTTGCATTAGTGTGAGTCGGCTCGATTAACAATCGCCCGACGCCGACTGATTTCCACGAATTCAGTTAAAGATCGTTCAGCTAAATTTGTCGAAGTTAGTCTTCTGTCGGTTGAATTGAACTGAATGTTCGTTCAAATCGACTGTTCGGTCGACGCAAATCCGTCGATTTCAGCCGACGGAAAGTCAATCTGATCCTCCTTTTTTTCCCATTCCGCGCAGCGCTCATCAAGGATTCCATTCGACCGTCGTACTGGATACCGGACTCGGAGATCGTTCACTGCTGCCTCTGCGCCAAGAAATTCTCCGAGAAGCTTCCCCTACATCACTGCAGAGACTGCGGCCGCGGGGTGTGCCAAGACTGCTCGCCGCATCGCAAGCCGGTGCCTCACAGAGGATGGGACAGCCCGGTGCGGGTGTGCGACGCCTGCGTTTAAAATCAACCAATCTTCAGCGGAAAAAAGTAGCCCGGTTCTCCCGGACGGGTCCTTACGGATCTTTACGGAGACGCGGCGGAAACCTTTTTACTACCGATGCCGAGTATGCGTACTTCGCAAAGTAAACACACAAAAGCGCGCCGATGCCGCCGGGTCGTCCTCTTCAGATTCATGCAGAATGAAGTGAATATCAATTATCTCGACGCGAATCGCTTTTGCAAGATGTACAGCAAATATTTTGAATATTCGATATTCACTTTATTCCGATCTCGCCCCCGAGTAAACGAGTTAAAAGTATTCTTAGACTTACGAGACTATCTTGCAGAGAGCCGTTGAGCTTTTCGAGAATATTTTTCATACGAGATACGATAAGGTTTCTCGCAACTTCCTGATCTTTTTTTTTTTTAAAGCCGTGACACTTTTTTTGAGGGGAGAGGTCCTTTCGATGCAGAGTGATTACGGTGCGAAGCGTTTGCGCTTATATTACAGCCGAAGCGATGTTATTTGATGTGGGCAGCAAAAGACAGAACATTTTCGATCGTAAAATCGAGGCTCACTCGTGGCGAGCGTTGCGCGGCTACAGTTGCAACTGCGGTTCGTTCATATCGCCGAAAACATCTTATTTACTTTCGCGTTAAATTTCGAGCGTTAAANGGGGGGGGGGGGAGTGAATAATTATATATTTATTATTATTTCGACATCGTAACGTAGGAAAAAATCCGAAAGATAGTTTTGTATATTATACATTTATTTTTAATATTGAATAAAACTTTATCAATCGACCAGTTGTTGGAAATATTAGTGCTAGTAAGCATTTTTACAGCCCAAGGCTGATACCTGATTTCAGTTTGCGTTTGAGGAACAAACTTGACGAGCGAATACGCGAGATTTTCGCGTCTACATAAGATTCTGTATGACATGAATCACAGTTTTCAACGTGTACAATTATAAAGGAGTGTATATGATTGTGCCATAACAGTAGTTGTTACGTCTTACGTGGGAACTACCTGAAGAGCAAGAGAGAAAGAGAAAGAGAGAGAGAGAGAGCGTGTCGAGTGTGTACGTTATATATCCTCGATAATGATTTTATATGAGAAATGCGAAGCAAGACTATTATACACATACAATTATTGATCAAAGAAAAAAAAAGAAATATTCCACGGAAAGCCGTGTGTGTGTGTGTGTGTGTTACCGCACAGATCTATGTTGACTACGAGCGATGTTGTGTACATAGTGTGGCGACACGCGTCACCAGTGTACATTAATGTTTGTAAATAGGATGCACTGATAACAGTGACGACTATAGAAGATAGTTTCTAGAACGAAGGTAGTCCGTGGAGACATAGTTTGCCCGTGGCTGTGACGACTGTAAAATTCCGGTGAGAAGCATTTGAAGACCCGCGTTCTCGCACGATCGCGATCGCGCGAAATCCTCTCGGAGGAGGACGCATAAATTGTTATCCTTTTGTCGGTGTCCTGTAACGAATATAATGATGAACCACTAAAAATAAAGTTCGAATTCTCAGAGCCGAGATCGAAACGCGTTGTGCTTCATTTCATGATATAGCGATGCTCGTAGTATTAATCTTTCACACACATACACGCACGACACACACACACACACACATACACATTCACAATATCGCTTAAGAAAACTGCGTTCAACTCCCGTTTCCTCGCCGCTATTCATCTCGACCGGTGGCGTTAGGAGTGAGGAAACGTATGCCCGAAATTCTCGCGGAATACTTTGGAGCAAAAGCCACAAATTGATATTTGTCACCGATATTTGAGCACACCCCGTAAGATACCCCGAAAATTTTCTTTTCATTTTGACCTACCTAGCTAATAAACAGCCGTCAAATCAACGTGACGAAATCATGAGAAAAGTGGTCGTCGCGACGACGCACAATAGGACGAGTTTATTATTTTTTCTTCTCAATATTAAATATCCTCGTGAATAGATTTGGTAATGAGTATAATATTCGCGTGTGCTCAAGTAACAGCTTTTCAACTTACTTTCGGTAGATAGGTATGGAACAAGTTTTATACGGGGTGTCCCAGAACAGTAACGCCAACGCGCCTGTAGACGGGATCAAGGCGAATAAAAAACTTCCATACCGCTTTGCGATATTCGCAATAATTTTGGTTAATAATTATTTTACCTAAACGTGTTTGATTATTTTATTTGGGTTTATATTAAATAATCTAAAAAAAGACATTTAAACCATTGCCATTAGATAAGGCGATACTATTTGGCTGCGAAATGGCCGGATGACGAGTGTCTGAAGTTGGATGGCAACTATATAGGAAAATAACGCGGATATGCGGATAACTTTTACACGTAACAAGCATTCTTGTTTCCTCTTACCAACCGGGATCGAATGATTTCCGAGTAGCCTTCTTATGTGCGTTCTCACGTTTCTACTTATGAGCACGAGACGAACGGGCTTACATTAATTCAAGGAACACGCACATACGTGAAGATGTAGATCATGTAGCACACAGATCAGGGAACACGTCCAAACTCTCGTCGCACCGGCTGCGATTTTGAATTTCTTCGAAGCGCCTCCGTCATCCCATGTGAACTCGCGCGCGCGCCCGTTCGTATTCGCGGTCGAATCGAGCTCGCCATCGAGCGTGTCTGCGATTAATCGCGCGCACGCGGGCCGCGCTCTCTCACACGCGTGCGAAAGTGTGTGCATCTCGACGAGCACGTGATGACGTCAAAACATGGCGTCTCAATCAGCTGGATGTTGTGTAGAGTGTGCCTGCGATGCCCGTCTTTAGAAAAGTAACGGAGACCACCGTCTGTCCGGCGAGATACGTGAGTTCCCCGTGGGCACCGCGAGTGTGCTGATCGCGCGAGGATCGCGTCGGTCCCGTCGGCGGGCGCGCACCTAGGAGTCCGCGAGCGAGAAAACCGCGGATGCGAGACACGCGAGTGGCGGCGAGAAACGCGAGGAGGAGAAGGTGTTGCAAGATGTTGTTGCGTTGTTTAATTTGAGCTGACGCGCGCGACGTGTCGCCCCGCGACGAACACGGCGAGATTCGTTCGCCATCGCGACGCGAAATCGGAGAAGTCTCGTCCTTCTCGTCTCGACAGTATACAGACGCTCTCTTTCTCTCTCACTCTCTTTTCCCCTTCGTCTGTCTTTTTGTCTCTCTCTCTCTCTCCTTCCCTGTCTCTCTCTCTCTCTCCCCCCTCTCTTTCTCGATATACATATTTTTCGGCGTGGCGACGCGCGATTTAAAGAACCAGGGAGGAAAAATCGCACGCGACGACCTCGCGCGGTAGTCGCGCCGTCGAAATTCCCGTCGCGCGTCCCTCCACGCGCATTTCGTCCCGTCGTCGTCGTCGTCGCCGCATCCGCACGGTCACGGGCCACGTCGTTTTCTTATGTAATTTCCACGAGTGCATCCACGGAGTGCGCGTACACCATGTTGTGATACCGTGTGCCGAGTGATGCCGTGGCCATTTTCGTGCTTGCTCTCGGATTTCGTAATCGTTATCAGCTCCATATTTGAATTCAACAAGTAATGCAGGCCGACACGCGTCCTGTCGTAGCGGCCCGCGGAGCGGTCCCGCGCCGTCGCGTCCACCAGATGCGAGATCGCCGCGCGGGGCCGCCGGGCTCCCGGTGAGTTCACTTTTCCGCGCCGCAGACACGGGAAAGTCGACCTTATTAACGCGCGCGCTACCCGTCCCGTGTTTCTCACGTGTTCATCGATCGCGTCTCGTGGATCGGTACCCGCCCGACCGAGATTCCAGCAGGTTCTCAGTGCGGAAACGTGTACAGGGTGAAATTCGTTCCTTCGGCGACAACGAGACGCGTCGACGTAGAAAGAGAGAGAGGGAGAGAAAGAGAGCGAGCGAGCCAGCGAGCGAACGAGCGAGCGAGAGGAAGGAAAAGCGAGAGAGGAGAGATGCAAATAGCGCAGCGAGATTTCGGCGAGACGGTAACATCAGCTCCGAGGCTAACGTTCGTCGTCGTCGTCGTGCCGACGAACGTGGTGGTGACGCGGGAGTCCCGGAGATCCCGCGTTCGAGATCTACTCGGGACGCGGAGCACGTTGCAAGTGCGCGACGCAGAGACGCCATGGCTCCTTGGCGCGAGACTCCTCGCGGTAGACGTCTGGATCGCTCGGGGACCGTGCGCGGGACGCGTGTCGTCGTCGTCGTCGTCCGGTCGTCGCAGCGAGGGTAGCGCGACGTCGAGCGCGTCGCCGCGAGTGACGGCTCCCGTCCCCCGGCGGCGGGCCCGCGACCATCCGAAGTCCCAGCGCGTTCCGCGATAGCGCGGCCATTTTGTCGCTTATTAGCGGATAAACAATCCCGTGCGACGTCGCGGACCCGCTTTCGCGACGCGCCTGGCCTCGAGGCTACCACACGCACATGCGAGCGCGCGCGCGCGCGCGCGCATGGGCGGCCAGTTCAATTTCGCTCGCTCGTCGCACGCGCCTTCCTCTTCTCTCGCTGTTTCGCTCTCCCCCCTCCCCCCTCTCTTTCTCTCGTGCGATTGTCGTGCGCACACCAAAAATAGAAAAGCGGCCGCGCGTCTGTTCCTCGCCGTTTCCGTGGTATTTTTCTGCCGTAACGCGATATTAAGCGCCGCCTCACTCGCGGCGTGAATCGCATCGAGGCCATCGCGGATATTCTTATCATGGGCGGCATACCTGTCCGAAAACAAAAGATCGAACGATTCGCGAGAGCAATGTTGACGGAAATAGTCCGAGCGGAGGACGAGTGCGTGGCGCGACACCCGATGCACAGCGTAAAAAGAGAGAGAGTGAGACTCGTCTCGCGAGATCCCTCGTGGTGTGTGCGACGAGATCGCACGAAGGATAACAGGCAGGATTCCCGTGCCGGTCTAGCGCTCCCTCATCTCTCTTCTGGAGATTGCTTGGAGAAGCACGAGTCGCGGCAAGCAACTTGCCCTACGACGTAAGACCGGGGGCACGATTACCCGCTGGTTGCTTCAATGCGTTCGTGTACAAGCGGTTGCCTAGCAACGGCACGCCGACGGGATTACTTGCGTTTCTCGCGTCCTTTAAATCCGCCTTGAAATCTAGAACGGACGCCCCCGGCAACCGGACCGAGAAGATTTAGGAAGTTAGGCCGGACTCATTTGCGAGCGATACCGAAAAAGTGCTTAAAGTCGTTCCTCGATTAGACTAATGCTTTTCCCGAAAAATGGGGGATTCTTTAACGTTGTTAATGAATTGTGTCAAGAGGTGAGATTGACCACGTTTCTACGGACCACACGGGCTGCGCTGATTGGCTGGCGCCAGAAAAATATCAAGTCACGGCCGGCTGTGGCGGTCAATTGCAACGTGGTCAATCGGGACGCTCCCATTTCAAGCAAAAAAAAATATATATATACATATTCTTTTGCCAAAGAACAGATTAAAAAATTACGAATTACGAACCTGATGGTGGAAATAAAATGTCGGCTTCGTTTTGCAGTGACCAAAAGACTCTACCCAACATGCCACCGGATAGGCCAGATGCATCAGGTATTGAAGCTGACATAGAATTGAATTCTACTCAGGATTTTAGTTTCGGGAAGGCAGCCTATACGATGAACGACAAAGAAAAGGAGAACGCCAGTGTGCTGGCCGAAACGAAAGCGACCAACAACGAATGCCCGAGCGAAATTCCCAGGTGTGAGAAGTCCATCGAGAAGAACAATCAGTCGGACGACGAGCTGACCTCGCTCAGCTGGCTGCATCAGCAGAACTTACTTAAGGGTTTAGAGATCTCTAACCCGTCCAAGGACATGAAGCATGAGAACATGCTGAACAACAATGTCTGCGACGATATGGCCGACTTTTCCGAGAACACGAATTCCATATCGAGCTTGGACGATAGTTTCTGTCCAGGTACATAGCGCCCGCTTTCTCTCTCGCTACTATGCTCTCCCACTGCGGATGTTGTCGTGCGATTTCTGTTATTAACCATGCTGTTTTTCTTTTTCTCTGATACCACCGGCAGAGAGTAACGGAAAAACGAGTGTCGTAACGCTGAACGGAAATGGACAAAACTATCAGCATCCCGCGAAAAATTGTCAAAAGTCGATGCATATATTTCAGGATCAGTCTGTGAAAAGTCACTGCAATACATCACCAAGTAATCAAACGAAGATTTCTTTGAGCAACAATAATTTGCCAATGTCTAATCGCAACAAGCATCCTACCCATATACCGTATGATCCTCATTTACACAGAAATAGTAAACCACCGTATTCATTCTCCTGCCTGATATTTATGGCCATCGAAAACAGTCCCGTAAAAGCGCTACCGGTGAAGGAGGTTTACGCCTGGATCTTGGACCACTTCCCGTATTTTCGGAATGCCCCCACCGGCTGGAAAAATTCCGTCAGGCACAATCTGAGCCTGAACAAGTGCTTTCGCAAGGTGGAGAAAGCTCCGGTAAGCGCGTGTTACACACACACACACACACACACAGATATCTTTCATACCGAATGACTAGAAACAGATTTACAAAAGTGCCGGCGGCGTGTAATATCGAATGACACACAATGTGCCTTTTGTGTTTGTAGAATTTGGGCAAAGGATCGTTGTGGATGGTAGACGCGCAGTACCGCCCGAATCTGGTGCAAGCGTTGTCCCGCGCCCCCTTCCCGCCACCCACCACTCAGAATCTATCTTCGTCGGAGAAGACGCCTAGGAAATGCGCGAACACGCGTCTCCCAGATCCCGTTCTCTTTCCGTACCTATCCAAAAGACTGGCCTCTAGCAATATCAGCGATAGCACAGAAACCGAGATTGATAGCGACGTCGATGCTGCGGCGGCTGCTATGCTTTCTTTCAAACACGGACCTATCATTTTGAATCACAATAAAGGTAACGTCGGCTATACCGATAATACATTCTTGAGACGCGCGTGAAATAACGAAAGAACGCCGAAGAGAGAGACGTTCCGTGTATATTAGATGAAAGAATAATCGCTCGGTTAAAGACAAGCGTCGAATCGACGTCGATTCGATGGTTGATATTCCGCTAAGCAGATTCTCACCATGTGATTCACGCGCTCCGTCGCAATTATTATTACAGACCGTAAGCGGAAATTGTCGGAATCCGAGAAGTTAGTGCCTGTAATCACTAGGAGTTCCAGCGAAGATCACACTTACAGCTGTATCACCTCGTTAAAACTGGAAAGGTAAGGGTGGTACGCGCTTCGGTCTCGTGAGAGACGCGCGAGTCACGCCGAGGGACGAGCGGCTCTTTACCGTTTTCGATTTCTTGTCGAGCAGCAAAAATCCGAACGAGGACGAGACGAATCCGGACTTCGACGAACAAAGGAAGATCGCGGAGGGTGCGGACGCGCTTTTGAATCTGGCCGGTGTCAGTACAACGCTAAGTCACTGTAGAACGCATCACGTGCCGTCGCAAGACATCAGCCCAGCGCCGTCTAGAGTGGAGGGGATTTCGAAACCAAAAAGACGTTCTACTCCGAGTGATTATTCAAGTACTCCTGAAAAAAGACGTAAGAGGTGGCGGGAATGGGGGGAGGGGAGTCGGTACCTAAAGCAAATTAGGGGTTAACATTAACAAATTTTGTTACATTTCAGAAAGTGTATAGCATTGAGAGAAAGAGAGAGAGCGAGAACTTTACATTTTTGCGCGCGATTAGTGGGGGGGAAAAAAAACAAAGAAAACTCGAAAATTCTATTCGTCCAGTGACGAATTTTTAAAACGACTTGCGTTTTGTATAGTATCGTCAGTTACAAAATCTCCGTGTAACATTTGAAAACGTGACAAAACCACTTCTGGCGGTCTTTTTGATTTTGTTCGATCACACACATACACACACACATACACATACGCATACGCGTGATAGACACAATATATGTGCACGGTAAATTCTTCCATAATTTCTTAGTATGTGCCGAAGAGAGAACGAGAGTCGGATGCATTTCGAAACGATCGGTGTGGGTTGCTCAGGGTTTACAACATGCTGTATGCCAAAATACATTCGGTAGCGCTAAACAACAAGCAATAAATAGAGACGTAGTGTTAAAGAAATACTTTTTAAACATGCTGTTGAAACGATGATAACACATAGTTCGTGGGATATCGATGAAAGAAATTACGTACCGAACTAAGTAATGATAATGATAATCTTTTTAGAACTGTTGTGACGATTATACATATTAATTCATAGAGAGTTTAATTAATAATAGAGTTCTATATCAGTTTTTCTTTTGTAGATATGTATAGAGGCATAATTAACACATCCACGAGGTCTCTCGCAAGAGTAACAAGACGAAGGAAGTTACGTTTCGATGAGACGAAAAAAAAAAAGAAGAAGGGAAAAGATAAGAAAGAAAGGGAGAAGAATTATCTCTCCTATCTTGTTACTCTTGCAACAGATCGTGTATTCGCGCGATAGAGAAATCGATAATATATTTGAAACGATTACAACGCATACATATTTCTATGTATGTGTATATATATGTACATAAAATGTATGTACGTGCATATATATGCAGATGTACACATTACACGCATTAAGATTAACATACTCAGTCATGTGTATACATATGTGTACAAGGTGTCCGCAAATTGTGCTTGGAAACAGCGGTGGAGTTTTAATTTCAGGAACCGAATGATGGAAGTTCCCACACACGCACACAAGTTAGCATACTTTTAACGGTTGCGGTTTCCCCATTTGTTTGCGTTTCAAATTCAATCGAATTGCGAGCCGTGCCTGATCGATCAACTGCTGTGAATCGTGCGTAATTGTACATACGATGATTTTATTGTATTCACAATAGAGACTAAACTTCCGATTTTCCCCATTCAAAAGTCTTCTATTTCTTGGAATAAAAAGTGGTAAATATTTTTATACTATTCGGCCTTTCGAAAACTTCCTACGTCGCTTTTGAATGCGAAGTTGTAGCACACCTTGCACGCACGTACACGCACACACATACAAGCCATGTGCATCGTTGTCTTGTACAACATACGTGCCACAAACGTATTATCAAAAGGATAAAAAAAAAGAAAACAAATATCGAGATATACGCTCACACACACATACATACACAAAGGATGGTTCTGAAACGAAGTCTTATCATTTCGTCGTGCCCTTTTCTACTCTTTGTGGCTTTCAATGATGATTTTCAACAGTGTTGTACATATGTAGACCTAATGTATCCACAGACCAGTTTTGGAATTCAGTTGGAGACTGAATGTATTACAATTAACGCCGATAATATCGATCGGGTGGGCTACGAAGGAGAGAGAGAGAGAGAGAGAGAGAGAGAGAGAGAGAGAGAGAGAGAGAAAGAGAGAGAGAGAGAGAGAGAGAGAGAGAGAAACGGATAGCGCTACACAAGGAGACATCCTATTTTTATAAAAGAAAACCGTAATGCTAAGGTAAAGTTTGATAATACCATGTAATTGTAAGATGCGCGCGCCACAGCTGGCTGACGCTTGTGAAAAAAAAGAAAAAAAATTAGGGCAAACTGGTCTTGCATACATTAAAAAAAAGAAAAGATACGTAGTTCTATATAGAGAGAACATATATTTTTACAGGGCGCGCTGCCCGCGTGATAAAAGCTCTTCCTAATGATTCGCTGGTATGCAGTTTATTAGCTTAAATCACTATATACAAAGTATAAATATATATATACATATGTATATATATATATATATATATAGTAATTCGAATGACATACGAACACACGCTGTTGTAGCGCAACCTGATCGATTTCTACTACATATCATCAATTCGTGGTGCGTGAAGTTATACATGATATGCCGAAGCTCTTGTAAGTTCTCACCTCGTTTGCCTCGTTTTCAACAACGGAGTCATTAACACTGGTTGACTGCCGCCGGGTGTTCACGGGAAGGGGGGGGGAGGGGTACGGAATAGAGAATGGCCCCCACTCGATGAGATAAATCATAATCACGCGTGGTGTGATATAGTTTAGAAATTGTAATTACATTACCTCATCGTCGCACGCGTTGTGTACCTTCGATGATGATGATTTCGCTGTGGTGGTGCATGCTTGATGTCCGTATCTACTATCATGGTTTAAGTCTGATCGACGATCAACTCGACGGGAATCGACCGGTCGCGTTCGATCAGTCCCTAACTGGTCCGAAATGTGACTGGTCGATTCCGTTGTGAGTTAATCGTCGATTAGATTTCAAGTGCGATGATTGCGCAGAAACGAGCATGAGACGGTATAAGATGGTACAAAACTCGCTGCGGGGGGGGGAGGGGGGTAGTCGACTTGTTCACAGATATCTCTCGAAGGAGATAGGAGATAGATCGCAGCACAGAACGCTATTCTTGTAATTCGTGCGATCGTATAATGTGGGGGTCAAGTAGTACTATAAATCAATGATGCTCCTGTAAAATAGTCAACCTGTCACACACACACACATACACATACCTTTTCGTTACATTGCTTCCGTATGTAATTGTCGAGATGTCGGATGGATGTCGGTCGTGACCGGCCAAGAGCCTGAAACTTGAAATTCGAAACGTACAATGGACTTTGGACAGGATGCGCTACAGCAATTACTTTATGTGATTGTAGCTAGTCAGCTACGCTACAGAAGAAAACAAAAAAAACACAATTCAACGTGTAGGTGCAAGAAAGAATGCCATGCTCAATGTAATATTGATTTGATAATGTAATATCGTTAAAGAGGAAGAAAAGAAAAAAGAGAAAACGAGTTCTCCGAAACTTTCCCGCCTGTTTCAATTGAAAGTTTGTAATTCTACTTATCGTGCGTCCTCCGCTGTTTGCATAAGCGTGCTTTGCTCAACACTACGTACATTACGTACTTTAATACGCGAAATTCGTGTAGCTGCAAGCAATCTAATCTTTCCTTTTCGTTTATTTATTTTTTTTTCTCTTTATTTCGTCGTTATTATCTGTGATACTATTGCAAAACTTAGTACGATATTATATCGTTGTTATACTTCCGCGTGATGAAAGTTTTAAAATTCTATGTATTATGTTGTATTTATAGAACGGAAGAAAGAGAGAGAGAGAGAGAGAGAGAGAGAGAGAGAGAGTTGTCTCTGCATAAACTATAAATATGATTAATTAATTGGCATTCTTGCTCACACCTCGAATACTCTATCCTCGTATCGATTAAAGCAACAAACTGGCATCTTCAAATTGATAATGTGTGGAAATTAAATGTTATAGCTTCACGATTTGTTACACACATTCTCTTAGTCTAGCTCTCGTTTGCTACGACTGAAGATCTGTTCTTCCATGTAGTTAATTCTAAATTACTTAGGGGGTGGGATGCCATTTATTATCGTAAAGTACGTGTAGCTAATCGATAGGTTATTAAAAGAAGACGGTAGATTAATCGATTAGTGACGTAATATTGTAAAGCAATACACCAGTAAATCCTGACATTGGGCGCAATACTCTAGTCAGCCGGTTTTCCTAGGATGCGAAGCGGAGTTTATGTGCAATGCATTAGGTCACGAGGTCAGGAGTCAGCGGAGCGATAGACTGTTTTTATTCTACAATTGCGTTGTGTAGAGAAAAGAGAAAGAAGAAAAAAAATGTAATAAAAAAGTATTAAAGTCGCATATTTGTAACGTAGCGCCGACTCATCGTATCGAATGCTGTAAATTCACCAAGGCGGATTGAGTTTCGAGTTTTATTTCACGGTCTCATTCTTATGCGGAAGCGTACTACTATTATAACCGGCTGACAGGCGAAGTCACGTGTATGACAGAGACACCAAAAAGCAAAGTATGGAGCAAAGCAGATTACGATGTGTCGTAACCAGCTAGGGACAATCAAAAGACATGATGTGTTTGATTTGCTTCCATTACATGACATCGTGCCAAATGCAGAATTCTTTGAGTTTGGAAGATCAGATATGCTAATTTATATATACATATATAAATATACATATGTGTACATATATGTATGTATGTGTACGCGAGAATGTTTGTAAACTTCACTTGGACAGTATTCTGGCGTTTTTCTTCATCACCGTATGAGATGAAGAGTTGACTCCCCGGAAGCTTCTTGTCCTGAAGGAATTCAGAAACATCCCAGTATATACACACATATACATATCTACAGATTGTATGTTATAAAAATTTTGTTGGCGTAATATGTAATATTACAGTTATACATATACATATATATATATATATATATATCATTATTATTATTACTCATTTTAAACAAATCATGCTGTAAAATGTTTGTTAAGTTTTTGATCTTGCTTATATATCTTGAGTATATTTAATATTTTAGGCTGTAACCACAAAGAAATTTTATCTAATGAAACAAATGAAGAAAATATCAATTATAAAGCGAGTTGGTCATTTTATTCAGCCTGTCCTTCTCACTAATGTAGTATTTAGTGAATATCAGTTATATATCAAGTAAAGTAATTAATATAATTCAATTTCCCAAGTTCGGTGGTATATTTAATACATCGACAAAAGTTATACAAGTGTATAAAAGATATAAAGACAAAGCATTTTTATAAAATATTTCTGCTATAAATATTATTGCAGGCTTAAATAGTAAGAGAATAAATAAGACATCTCTTACGAGAAGATTCCATTCGACCAGATTGTATATGAAAAAAAATATTTCTCATGAGAAAAGACTATATTAGAATTTTACATTAAATTTCAGAGATATATAAATATTGTTGAAAAATGTTTTACAAAATTTACCAGTCGGAGCAAAACAAGTATTCTTGATGAAACTTCACGTATAAAAAAAAAGGATATCTCGACAAAATATCATCTATACAATAGATGTGTCAACTATTACAAGATTTAGGACAAGGCACATGTGCTTTATTGATGTTCGATTATTTATAGATCCAATTCGAATTAGATTCATTTTAAAAGGCACCAAATTGACAGGAAGACAGCAGAGACAACGTTATGTACATTAAATTCAGACTTTCTGCAATACTGCTTAATATCTATTATTACTTATACAAAAGATGGATGTAAAAGTTTTGACTTTTACTATTTCTTACTAAAATTCACTATGACGATTGATAATCTCAAGTCTTGCAGTTCAATTGTTTTATCACATTTAGCCTGTAAATCTCGACTGTCATCAGCTTTCCTTTTCTTTCCTGTATTTAGAGGGCGTAGAACTAAATACGTTTCGCATATCCTCCTTCCAAGACAGGTGAGCATCATCCTTGGATGTTTGTTCTGCCGCCTGATCTGTGTGATTTTGCGTCGAGATACTGTAGCTGTCTATTGTGTGCACTGTGCTACTCGTATTGTAAGTTTGATAGCCGGTGTCTTGCACTGAACTCGAGATACACAATGGGTCGAATGTGCTGAACATCGTGTTGCTCTGCTTGTGACTCTTGTACATGGAATGTTTCTCCATTTCAATCGCAGTCGTCGAGCCAGTAGCGTCATTACGACCTTTGTCGCCTGACACGTCGGACTTGATCTGTACGATATTGCCAAATGGATTTTCATATTTCGGGGTCTCCGTATCAGCGAAATTGTATAAATCGGCTTGACTGTTATTTACAATTGCAATTTTCCGATTATCCTCTGCACCTTCCACATTGGTATCTCGGAATATACCTGCAATGTTTTCGATATAGATCTTTAGGATATTTTTAGTATAAATAAAAAAAAATACAGACACGATAAGTATATAATAATTATCTGAGATTGAAAAGAGTGCATGCCCGTCACGCAGATGTGGAGACACACGCATACCTGACAAATCATTATCGTGCAAGTTTTGGCTCTCCTCTGTATTTTCACTATCTATACTCATATCCGTTACGAAGTCTAGTCGTGTGATCGAACGTGAACGGCGTCTGATTTTCTTACACAACATACCGTTCTCATTACGTATCGGTGACATGTAAGGTGGCGATAAGCTCACAGATCTGTTGCTGTATCGCCGATTTTTTAACGACCCCTGAAACACAGTATTATAGTTCACGCATAAGCATATTATGTTCGATGTACGTATCATATTCCGTCAGTTTTTCCCACATACTTTCAATGATCCATGAATAAACATTCCACTTTGGGGAGGGCTGCCGGACAAGACCATGGATCCGTTCATTTCAACCGATGAAAGAGAGGCAACGCTTTCGTCGTCGTCGGTATACTCGTGATTAAAAAAGAGCTTCCTTCTCAGCGAATTGTTACTTAAATTTATGTCCTCGTTGTCTGCATTTTGTTCCTTTCGAAAACACGCAAATATTCGATTAATTCTACTATTTAGAGACGAGACTCTGGGAAAATCTACGACATAATGCTATTGAGAGATGAAAAGGTACACTATTGGTAAATGTGTCATATCAAGTCTTGAGATTATCATTAGATTCTCTCTACATTCACTTCGATGGCTATTTCAGACCAACCTGCGTGAATGTATAGAAGGATTTCAAAGCATCTTCAACATCTTGTGGTAGATTCACGGGTAAGGACAGTACTGTCTGAGTCCATGCTGAAAATAACAATAAACAAAATTAACGAATGGATCTTGACGAATCTTGAAATATTACTTATTCTGCCTCTGCCATGGGTTTGTACCTTCCTTTCTCGACTTTAAGAACTCCTTAGTAGAATTCATATCATCCGCAGTCCTGCAAGGAGTATCGACGTCAATATATGGTTTACTCATCTTCTCTTTAATTTGCCAAGGACTGGGAATGATCTGATTCTCCTTGAAAAACCGATCTATAGCTGCCTGGGCACGCAATTCCACCTCAGGATCCGGGGAGCAAACCAGCTGTACAGGAGACTCTTCTATCTTTGCTGGCTGTATCCGAGCCAATTCATCTATGCTCCATCGAAATCCTTCCGGTGATCGCTGCTGAACCAAAGAGTTGGAGACCTATGTTTGACAACATCGAGTCATTTTGTTTACCATATGTTAGTTATAAACTTATTATTCACTATCAGTGAAGCAGAAGGTCAATTCCTTATAGCTGAACTAGTACTGTACTGGAACTCGGATTGTTTTCTTTTCACTGCTTGGTTATATACTAGTTACATTCTAAGTGCCAAAAGTACAACATAGATCAGCTATAAAGAACAGATTTGTAATCATCAAAGCAGGAAGTATTTTCTCTCTCACAGGACCTTGGCAAATATGGTTGGACTGATCATGGGCAGGTGTAATCTATTGGTCAAGTCGGCCTCGAACGGATTTCTCCTGATGATCTTCGTCAAACCGGATGGCGGGGTGAGGTAACTCGGCAGAACGGTTAAGCATCCGGCGTTGTTCTGATACGCCGTACGCCTAGGGCGGATCTCGTTTTGCTTGACCGGAGTCAGGTACAACCTCGGACTGATTATCGAGGAGCCGTCGTAACTCTTCATCTTGCTCGGTGTTCGCCACCTCAACTGGTCCATCGTAAAACAAGTCGCAGGGAAACGGACACCACTCCGTTTCCGCGAAGCCGCCTCCGTTGAAGTTTAGGTTTACTTCGAAATTCTTACGTTCTACAGTCCCTACGACTGTAAAACCGTGGACTAATTTCACCGGATGTTTCAGCCCGTGTGATGGGAATATCGTAAATCGGAGTTCTCAGCAATTCTTAGTAACCGGCGAGACGGGCGACTTTTTTGAACTTGTCGGTTTTGACGTCTTCAGTGCTGCCGCCATCGTTGTCACATGTTCTCTCCGTATGAACTTTCTACACAAGTGCAGTCAGTTGGTTTGTCTGCGGGTGTCAATGGTTGCTCTCCAGCAGGGAACGCAATGGGGGAACACCAAGCTTATTTTATTGGCTATATATTACCTTAGAAGATAATTTAGATAATACGTAAGGCTATTACGATTTTTACAGTATCTATATAATTTTCCTGTTTTTGTTTTTTACCATAGCTTATATAGACTATATAGAATATTAGTTAAACAAAAAGAAAGAGAGAGAGAGAGAGAGAGATCGAGATACGTATATAGGAACAAGAAAAAATCATCGATATTTGTAAAACATCGATGTCCGCTCGATTTAAAGGTAGTATTTAGAGAAAATGTTAGGGACTCTAGAAATTCTCTATACGGCAGCCAATCAGCATCCGATAAATTCGTGCGACGCATTCTCAATAGAGAATATCGATGTTTTCCAAAAGAAACTGATATTTATTAAACAGTAATCCTTAAAGAGAAGGAAAATATAATTAAAAATACTATTAAAATTTATCTTATTTTGTAACTTATTTCATAATAAATTCTACACGTGGTTGTTCCTTAAAAAATTTTTAATATTCCTTAGTAAATGCTTACAGAAGAGAAAAAATTGCAGGACATAATCAGAACATAAATATTAAAAAAAACGAAGATTTTTAATTTCACAAGGTATAAAATTTTGTTGATGTTTCTTACATTTTTCAAAAAAAGAGTCCCAATATGTTGTTTTTTATTCCTTCTTAAAAAAATTTTAGAAAATTAATTTTTCCAGGAAAATATTTATTATATGTTACATATTTTATATTATACTGACATTACATAGACGAAAAATTATAACCTTAATATAATGTTATAGATTCTTGATGTTTATCAGATTTGGATCAAGATAATTGTCAGATAGACGGAAATGTTCAACATGATTCGAATAACTCGCGAGGCACAGATTTCCTTCAAAAATACTATTTTTTCTACTTTCTACATTCTTTTTCTACTTCCTACTTTCTACTTTCTTTTTCTTTTTCTGGTTTCAATGTTTTTTTGAATTTGTTAAGAAACTTATATGTACATAAATATGATGAAAAAGTTATATCAAGATAATATGTTCATTAATCCAGGATATGTGTTTGATAACGTCAATAAAAACGTAGTAGCGAGAATTGCAACACGGCAATATTGTTGTCAAAATACCGCGCAGTAAATAATGGCCTGTGGCTGAATCGCGGATCATTAAACTGTTTCCGGTGCCGGTGGTCTCGTCAAGCCAGGAGTCTTTCGTACCAGCACACATGGTTTGTTTTAAATCAAGACTAGCCAAATCTGGATCGTTCAATTTACATTTCATCTGCGATTAACATAATAATAATCTTAATGTCGTTTACGAAATTTATTATAAATTCATAAGAGAAATTTGTACAACACTAAAAAGCCCATGTTAGTTTCACATACATTTTTACGCATCACCGTTAGAAGTCGGCAGGGACATCAATGGTTACAGAAATACATCTTACAAAGGTATTCTTACCTGGCTCTCTATTCGTATTTTATAAATTTTCGGTTCCAAAAGATTAAATTCGCCTCCATAATAAATACTTCCTATCCAGCTCACTATAAATCCCGATGTTTCGAACATGTCCTGAAGATTAGATAAATAGGTCCATAAACAAATTGGTTTGATCATAGAGCTGTATTCGACAGAGGTCCGTAGAACCGCAACAGCCAGATCAGAGTCAACAACATACTTCGTTAAATTAGAATCTATGAAAGCAAATTTTGTTAACAAAATGGCGTCACATTTTGTGCAGAATCTGAGTACAGCACTGCCAAGCGAGAGGCCGCGCCAGCGAGTGGTACAGTTTCCTCGCCAGGGTACGGTGTGTAAATCGCGCAAAAAAATTTCTCAGTGACGACGCGCGTCGCGACTATGGAGAAGCGCGCTCGCGGGGAAATACTGCGATGGCACCGCCCTCTCGCGCGTACAGTATTGTACTCACAATCCTGGACTGGGATATACATAAGCCAACTATTTCAATTATTACGAACATAGATATCGGATTTATCCAGCAATCTTTGAACGAATTTCAAACTAACTTGTAATACTAATAACAGTGATAATTTGCTTACTGGACTGTTGCGTGTAATTCGGATGAATCGTATAGTTCGCAATGTCCCGATATACGTATCCTGCTTCATTCGAATTTGTCCTCCAATAGCGACCTAAACGCACTAACATTTCGCTAGGATCTATCTTCTCCATGGTAGAATCATTCTTCATAAAACATGTTGCCACTACAAAAAAAGCGAATACATGTCTTGTACGTATTATATTCTATAATATCATCGTTTACAGTACCGATAATAACTTAAAAAAATAAGCTTCGGACAAATTTTAATCATGACGGTGGTAACATTTGTTTACTATTATCAATCTGTCGTCATACCCTGTTAACAGATGCCATTATATTTCTACATAACAACCCACCGACAAATATTACGGCAGGTACGGCGCAAAATCTGTTGGTTTGGTTATATGAATATTTGATTAGATCAGCTATGTCTAAAAGAAGCGACAAGAAAAGTTTATAAATATCACATGGCATTTATGTTTAACGGATGTTGATGAAAAATTGGGGTGGTACATCATTAAAACACATTCTGTGCGTGTGTGAGGAGGGGATGTGGATCGTTATAATACTAAATCCCGTGATAGCCAAACATAAGATCTCGCGCAGAACCTGATATAAATTTTCGATGGCAGAAAGGCAAGAAACTTAACATAAGGTCTGTTTTATCAGATTTCACCAAAACTGCTGTCAGAAACCTGCGACGTAACCTGCTGACAGGTAATTGGAGCAAATTGACGGTAGAAACGAAGGATACCTTAGTTCGCTGCGCTTAGTTTGGCAGTATACTCTGTGCGGTTTTTATTGCCAATCAGCTCAGGTTACTTATCAGCTGGCTCTCAAAACATAAGTTGAACGTGGATACAGATGGCTATAGTTTTCACGCACGGTTCTGATCAAATTTACCGATCTGTACGCAGTCTGCGATTAATTTGTCTATTTGGTACATTTTTGAATATGTCATCTTTTTGTTTCCTTAACATACATGTTAAAACATGTTTCTTGGTCACGAGAGAGCCGATGCATTTAATGTCTCTCTTGAACGACCGTTTAAAGAACAATGCTAGCCACGTCCATTGCTCCTGCGGGTTATTAATCATTCTGCCGGACAATGCATCAGTTTCATTATAGACAAAGCTGCGACCACATTCGTTATAGTCGGGCGGAAGTTTTGGTTGAGATTGTAGACTCTTAAAATCAGTGAGATTCTCCTTCGATTCAACAGGATAACTCAATAGAGTGTATATGATGGAGGTAACCATCAATACCAACGCTGAAAAGGCGAATGGAAAGTTCGATTAATGAAGCTACACAGTTTCGTATGAAGTGAAAAGGAAATTGATTTTCTTCCGGAAAATCAAACTTCTTAGAATATATATAGAAAATGTACATTCTGCTCTTGTACTTTTGTGGAATAATATAATTCTTATCGCGATGACTCTCGCAATATACTTGACCGTTGAATCAGAGTAATTGTTATTCCGCCAAACGGACTCGGATCTAATCATCGTCACCTTGACATATTTTGTCACGGACATCGTTAAGAGTAACATACAAAAAAGTTTGAGTAGGAGTGTTCGTTGATTATTAAAAAGATATTAATAAAAGTTAAAAAAAAAAAGAAAAATATACATATATATTAAATATATAACACTATAAGCCAATCCAGAATTTCATCAGTTGCGCCGTTAAAGTCGAACGAGAAACTTTGTGTGTGTTTAATTAAAGTTTTCGCGTAAATATATATCAACTGATGAGGTTTTGGATTGGCTTATAGTGTTCAAATGTTCTTAAAATATTAAAACAAATAAAATAATAATAAAAAAAAAATATATATATATATATGTGACCCATAATTTATATAACAGGTATTTTACTTTCTCAAGGCAAATTTTCACTCATTCATTTAATTGCATTTAATTATATGGCAATTTAATTTAAGTGAGTAGAATAAACCTGTTATCGTACAGGCTGCCGCAATAATCAAAGACATATCTAATCACTAATCAAATGTTAAGTTCATCTGGCATGCACAAGTGATAAAAACATCATTCGGCATTTTTCCGGCATATATATAATAAGCAATAGGATAGAATAATACTTTCAGTACCAAAGCGTAGAGGACGAATTTAGCCGTAATAATATGCAGCTGTTGATTATTGTGGCTGCCTGTACACCGGCTGACATTAAATTCTTTTCGCGAGAGGGGAAATATTGTTCCTCCACTTTGGTACGTCATTCAGTGCTAATTGCCGCGCTAGTCGGTTGATCGATCAGCCGGTCAGTAGAACGCCGAAGAGGGGCGGAGGGAAAACACTTTTTCTCCGAAAAGAATAAATGATGATCGGTGTATGATAATAAGTTCGTCTGGACAAGTTTACGATTTTCGGAGCTGAGTCCATTCGACGAATTAATAACTGTTTTGCATTTCGACGACACATTATCACACATTATTAAATGAATTTATTGCCCCAAAACAAAAGCAACAGCCAAACCAACCAACCAAAACCAATTTTAATTGGAGCTAATCTTAATAAGTTAAGCGCAAATTAAAGCATTTCATATGTCATTTTATGCTTTGGTACAACAAATTTAACGTTTCGAGTTTCGCTTAAAGCCAAAATAAAGTCGGCGCAAACGGATCAAGCAACATTTAATTATATGACAATTTAATTTAAATAAAATTTACAAACCTATTACAGTACAAGCAACCGCGACAACCAGCTGCTGCATGTTTTTAAGACTGATGGTCCTCGCAGCTAGCGATAATCGATGCGATACGCGACGTGCGATATCTAATGAGCGTACTGCTTTTCAACGGATCTGCACGATCATTGGAATCGCGCTGGTTGTCTCCTCTAGGCGTTCACGCACTGAAAGTTTCATTCTACTTTATTGTTCATTACGTGCCGAAGATAGAATAAATTTATAGAACGTGAACGCAAAAGGACAACATCCTGAGTTCGCCATATACACTTTCGTACTGAAAGCATCATTGGACATGTGATTGAATTATATAACAAACTGGAGGAAACACTGCCTTTATTTTTGTTGAATGAATTTCCCATTGTCCAAATCTTTAACCAAATTTTAAACATGCACAAATCAGAACGCAGCACGATGATCCCGACTCAGATCGAGTCTGCAAATCGAAAACGCTATCATATATCGCTCGCGTGAACAGCATTTAAGTGTAGTTAAGTTATACTTTTCGGCTTAGTGTGATTTCACACTCTATACTTCCGGCTTAAAGCGGGGTCTACAATAAGAAATTGAGACGTAAGTCTTAAGAAATTGACCAATCACGATCGAATATGTGGAGAATAATTCTATATTCTAAATAACTATTGAAACGTCTACCGAACCTTAGCTTTCTGTTAAACACTAATACTTAAAAAGAAAGACGATTAAATAAAAAAAAAAATACTATTAGAATTTAGCTTAATTTGTCATAATAAATTCTAATCGTAGTTGTTCGACGGAAGAATTTTAATATTTTATAGTAAGTGCTTGGGGAACAGAAAAAACTTGCAGGACGTAAAGTAATCAGGACATAAGTATTAAAAAAAACGCAGTTTTTATTTTCAAAAATATTAAGCTTCCTCTGATGCTTCATTTTTCTAAAAAGAGCTCCAATTTGTTGTTTTTCTTCCTTTTTAAAAAAATTATTTTAAATTATATTTACCCAGGGTGATACTTGTTACATGTTGCATATGTTATATTATACTGACATTGCTGAGAAAATGATAACTTTAACATAATGTTATAGATTCTGGATGTTTATCAGGATTTGGATCAAGGCAATTGTCGGATAGACGGAAATGTTCAACATAATTCGAATAACTCGCGAGGCACAGATTTCCTTCAAAAATACTATTTTTCTTCTTTCTACTTTATTTTTCTACTTCCTACTGTCTACTTTCTTTTTCTTTTTCTAGTTTCAATGTTTTTCTGAATTTGTTAAGTAACTTATATGTACATAAATATGATGAGAAAGTTATATCAAGTTGATCTGTTTATAAATCCAAGATATGTGTTTTATAACGTCAATAAAAACGTAGTAGCGTTCTCGCAACACGGGGCAGTTCTTGCAAGACACCCACCTTGTTGTCAAAATACCGCGCAGTAAATAATGGCCTGTGGCTGAATCGCGGATCACTAAACTGTTTCCGGTACCGATGATCACGGCAAACCAGGCGTTTTTCGTACCAGCACAGATGGTTTGTTTTAAATCAAGACTGGCCAAATCTCGATAGTGCAATTTACATTTCATCTGCGATTAACATAATAATAATGTTGATGTCGTTTGCAAAATTTATTATAAATCCATGAGAGAAATTTGTACAACACCAAAAAGCGCATGTTAGTTTCACATACATTTTTACGCATCACCGTTAGAAGTCGGCAGGGACATCAATGGTTACAGAAATACATCTTACAAAGATATTCTTACCTGGTCCTCCATTTGTATTTTTAAAACTGTCGGTCTCAAAAGATTAAATTCGCCCTTATAATAAACACTTCCTGGCCAGCTCACTATAAATCCCGATATCTCGAACATGTCCTGAAGATTAGATAAATAGGTCCATAAACAAATGGGTTTGATCATAGAGCTGTATTCGACGGAGGTCCGTAGAACCGCAACAGCCAGATCAGAGTCAACGACATACTTCGATAAATTAGAATCTATAAAAGCAAATTTTGTTAACAAAATGGCGTCACATTTTGTGCAGAATCTGAGTACAGTACCGCCAAGCGAGGGGCCGCGCCAGCGAGTGGTACAGTTTCTTCGCCAGGGTACGGTGTGTAAATCGCGCAAAAAAATTTCTCAGTGACGACGCTCGTCGCGACTATGGAGAAGCGCGCTCGCGGGGAAATACTGCGATGGCACCGCCCTCTCGCGCGTACAGCATTGTACTCACAATCCTGGGCTGGGATATACATAAGACAACTATTTCAATTATTACGAACATAGGTATCGGATTTATCCAGCAATCTTTGAACGAATTTCAAACTAACTTGTAATACTAATAACAGTGATAATTTGCTTACTGGTCTGTTGCGTGTAATTCGGATGAATCGTATAGTTCGCAATGTCCCGATATACGTATCCTGCTTCATTCGAATTTGTCCTCCAATAGCGACCTAAACGCACTAACATTTCGCTAGGATCTATCTTCTCCATGGTAGAATCATTCTTCATAAAACATGTTGCCACTACAAAAAAAGCGAATACATGTCTTGTACGTATTATATTCTATAATATCATCGTTTACAGTACCGATAATAACTTAAAAAAATAAGCTTCGGACAAATTTTAATCATGACGGTGGTAACATTTGTTTACTATTATCAATCTGTCGTCATACCCTGTTAACAGATGCCATTATATTTCTACATAACAACCCACCGACAAATATTACGGCAGGTACGGCGCAAAATCTGTTGGTTTGGTTATATGAATATTTGATTAGATCAGCTATGTCTAAAAGAAGCGACAAGAAAAGTTTATAAATATCACATGGCATTTATGTTTAACGGATGTTGATGAAAAATTGGGGTGGTACATCATTAAAACACATTCTGTGTGTGTGTGAGGAGGGGATGGGGAGCGTTATAATACTAAATCCCATGATAGCCAAATATAAGATTTCGAGCAGAACCTGATATAAATTTTCGATGGCAGAAAGGCGAGAAACTTTACATAGGGTCTGTTCTATCAGATTTTACCAAAACTGCAGTCAGAAACCTGCGACGTAACCTGCTGACAGGTAATTCGGGCAGATTGACGGTAGAAACCAAGGATATTTATTTCGCTGCGTTTAGTTTGGCAGTATACTTTGCGCGGTTTTTATTGCCAATCAGCCCGGGTTACTTATCAGCAGGCTCTCAAAACATAAGTTGAACGCGGATACAGATGGCTATAGATTTCACGCACGATTCTGATCAAATTTACTGATCTGTACGCAGTCTGCGATTAATTTGCCTACTTGGTACATTTTTGAATATGTCATCTTTTTGTTTCCTCAACGTACATGTTAAAACATGTCTTTTGGTCACGAGAGAGCCGATACATTTAATGTCTTTCTTGAACGACCGTTTAAAGAACAACGCTAGCCACGTCCATTGCTCCTCATTGTCATTCATTCCTCTGGTCAAAGCATCAGTTTCATTATAGACAAAGCTTCGACCACATTCCTTATAGTCAGGCGGAAGTTTTGGTTGAGATTGTAGAGCATTAAAATCAGTGCGATTCTCCTTCGGTTCAGCAGAATAAGTAAAGTGAGTGTATATGATGGTGCTAATAATCAATACCAACGCTGAAAAGGCGAATGGAAAGTTCGATTAATTAAGCTACACAGTTTCGTATGAAATGGAAAGAAAATTGATTTTCTTCCGGAAAATCAAATTTCTTAGAATATATGTAGAAAATGCACACTCTGCTTTTGTATTTATGTATAATAATATAATTCTTATCGCTATAAATCCCGCAATATACTTGACCGTTGAATTATTCAGAATAATTGTTATTCCGCCAAACGGACTCGGATCTGATCTTCGTCACCTTACATATGTGTCCAGGACATCGTTAAGAGTAACATACCAAATAGTTTGAGTAGGTGTGTTCGTTGNAACCCTTTGAGTACCGAATTATTTTAAGATTTTTATGCTCATGGGACGGATTTAATTTGTCGCTATATGGATTAATATGTAAAAGTAATATATTTTATGCCTAAGTAAGCAGATGACGAGTCTCACTCGTCAAATATACCCAAGGGTTAATAAGATATTAATAAAAGATTAAAAAAAAAAAGAAAAATATACATATATATTAAATATATAACACTATAAGCCAATCCAGAATTTCATCAGTTGAGCCATTAAAGTCGAACGAGAAACTTTGTGTGTGTTTAAATAAAAAGGTATCGCGTAAATATGTATATATATATATCAACTGATGAGGTTTTGGATTGGCTTATAGTGTTCAAATGTTCTTAGAATATTAAAACAAGTAAAATAAAAAAAAAAATATATATATATATATATGTGACCCATAATTTATATAACAGATATTTTACTTTCTCAAGGCAAATTTTCACTCATTCATTTAATTGCATTTAATTATATGGCAATTTAATTTAAGTGAGTAGAATAAACCTGTTATCGTACAGGCTGCCGCAATAATCAAAGACATATCTAATCACTAATCAAATGTTAAGTTCATCTGGCATGCACAAGTGATAAAAATCATTCAGCATTTTTCCGGCATATATATAATAAGCAATAGGATAGAATAATACTTTCAGCACCAAAGCGTAGGGGACGAATTTAGCCGTAAAAATATGCAGCTGTTGATTATTGTGGCTGCCTGTACACCGGCTGACATTAAATTCTTTCGCGAGAGGGGAAATATTGTTCCTCCACTTTGGTACGTCATTCTGTGCTAATTGCCGCGCTAGTCGGTTGGTCGATCGGCCGGTCAATAGAACGCCGAAGAGGGGCGAGGGAAAACACTTTTTCTCCGAAAAGAATAAATGATGATCGGTGTATGATAATAAGTTTGTCTGGACAAGTTTACGATGTTCGGAGCTGAGTCCATTCGACGAATTAATCACTATTTTGCATTTCGACGACACATTATCACTCTTACATTTAAGGCCCGATTACCGAACCTCATTTTCACTGTAAGCGAAATTTAAAACTGAATTTATTGCACCAAAACAAAAGCAACACCCAAACCAACCAACCAAAAACTTTAATTGGAGCTAATCTTAATAAATTAAGCGCAAATTAAAGCATTTCATATGTCATTTTATGCTACAACAAATTTAAAGTTTCGAGTTTCACTCAAAGCCAAAATAAAGTTGGCGAAAACGGATCATGCAACATTTAATTATATGACAATTTAATTTAAATAAAATTTACAAACCTATTGCAGTACAAGCAACCGCGACAACCAGCTGCTGCATGTTTTTAAGACTGATGGTCCTCGCAGCTAGCGATAATCGATGCAATACGCAACGTTCGATATCTAATGAGCACTGCTACTGCTTTTCCAACGGAGCTGCACGCTCATTAGATATCGCGCGGGTTGTCCCCTCTTTAGGCGCTTACGCACTGAAAGTTTCATTTTATTTTATTGTTCATTACATGCCGAAGATGGAATAACATTTATAGCACGTGAGCACCCAAAAAGAACGAATCCTTAGTTCGCCATACACTTTCGTACTAAAAGCATCATTGGACATGTGATTGAATTATATAATAAACTGTAAGAAACACTGCTTTTATTTTTGTTAAATTACTTTCCCATTATCCAAATCTTTAACCAAATTTTAAAAAATTCACAAATCAGAACGCAGCACGATGATCCCGATTCGGATCGAGTCAGCAAATCGAAAACCCTATCATATATCGCTCGTGTGAACGGTGAGAACAGCATTTAAGTGCAGTTAGGTTACACTTTTCGGCTTAGTGCGATTTTGCATTCTACATTGGCATCGCAATGTCCAAATCAGCTCATGTTTATGCCAACCAATGGCGGAGTAGCTTGTTATATAATCCCCTATAAGGCCCCTCTCTCTCTTAGACTCTCCCTACGTCTGGAAACACTGATCAAAACGCAACCTTTGTTTACACGGTGCAACTCAACGAACTGCATCGAAACTTTTGGCAATCGATTTACCTACATTTGAATTCGTAACACTGCAAGAAATGTAGTAAACCTTCTACTTGAAAATATATTTCTAGAAATTAGATTTTAAGCTATATAAAATGTTTCTTAAATCGCCTCTTTATCGTTGCTTTGATGTAAGTTACTGTCCGATAAATTTCTTTCTTTTTTTGGTCGAGAAAAGTAATCTTTTCATTATTGTATGTAGCGCATATAATACGTAGTTCTTTATCAGAAAAAAAGGAAGCAAAAACTTATCTGTTGTATTTAAAGTAATTCATATTACTGCTTATTTATTTTATAACTATAATATGATTAGTCTTGAAAGAAAGAAAGAATGAGAGAGAGAGAGAGAGAGAGAGAGAGTGAGTGAATGAATGAATGAATGAATGAATGAATGATGAATGAGTGAGTGAGTGAGTGAGTGAGTGAGAGAGAGAAAGAGAGAGAGAGAGAGAGTAGTTTGGTATTTTTTACTAATATATATAATCTCAGAATATATCTCTACATCTTCTTAAATAACAGATAGTTAAAAATATGTATAAAAGTATTAAATACTAAATGTGCTTTATATATTTATATCTTTATTTTTATATCTATTGTAATATAATAATAACACTGACGTAGCTCAAAACCATTTTCGCTTATTGTGGCGTTTAGGTTTCACCTCAGTCTCGTCCACGTCTTTATCGGCGTCTTTCTTCGACACCTTCTTCGACTTCTTCTCCTTCAGTTTCTCCTTAAATTTCCCTTTCTTCGCCGTTTTCGTCACACTGGAGGAATTATTGTCGTTGCTCGACAGCTCGTTCTTGTTTCTCGCTGAAGGACAAACGTCAGTTCCAATAAGAGAGTCCACGTTACATATTCTATAAAGATACATACGCTGCTTTTTTCCCTCGCTTACCGGCAAATAGACCCATATGCTTATTTATGCTCTTGTCCTCCTCCACTTCTCTGCGACGATCCATCTCCAGACATTCGACAATCTCATTTCTTCTCTCGACAATTTCTACTAACCTGCGGAAAAAGGAGACCGTCTACATTACAGGCCTCTTTGTCCGTCTCCAATTCTTTCGGACCAATCACGTTTCTTTAATACATTTAAACAAAACTTAAATCGAATAATTTCGAGGTACCTTTGTATCAACGCTTCCTCTCTCTGCTTGTCGAAGTCCGTTTTAGTGGCTTCCGGCTGGCACATGAGACATCGTATTTGATATTCCACCTCGGCGTGCTCCTCCTCCAATCTTTGTTGCCGCCGGAGTAACATCAGTTCGGCCTGCCTCCGGAACAGCTCGTTCTTCTCGTTCACCAACGCGAACAACTCCAACACCAGTTCCTCCACGTCCGTGCCGAGCGGCGAGTCTGTCAATTGCAAGCCGATAAATTACAGAGTCACATCTTGCACGTCGGTAATGCATACGCGATTGTTGAAAGAAAACCGGACACGCTGGGGACTCTCACCTTCCGTCCCGTGTCTGGATTCGCATTTGTCCCGTATCAACTGTTCCAATCGCACACCCTGCCTCTCCAAGCCCTGCTGTTGCAACTCTATCTCGTCCAGTTCCAATTTCACGTCCTTCATGGATATCACCTTGATCTGCAATCATCAAAAGCGCGTTGACGAATTTTTCGCGTGCTCCCTTAACTTCCGCTCTCTCTGTTCAAAGCTCGAGCCTGCTGAAATCTGTCCCATTAAATGCCGGAATGTCGTACCTTCCTCCTGTGCGGGATCGGTCGCGGCGGAGCCGGTCCTTTCTTCCTCTTCCACTTCCCCTGTACGCTCTTGTCGGCGTAGGACTTGTAGGAGATATCGTCGGTGACGCTGCTCAAGCTCTGCCTGTTTCGATTCGTCTCGTCCTTGTTGGTCTTCTGATCCTGCCACATCTCCAAGCTGTTGTGATCGTCGCTGCTGCCGTGCAGCTCGTTGATCGACGACTCGGTAAGGCTCAACGCGTCGCCGATCGGCACGCTGCAAGGTGTACTGGTGGACATCGGCGGTGGTGGCGCCGGCTTCGTCTTCCGAGCTCGCGGAGTCGTGCGGGGCGATGAGCTCTGCGGGTTGACGAGAAGAAGAGTCAAACAACGAATGCCCGATTTCTCTCGTGAGACTTTTCGGCCCCGAGAGCTTTACGGCGATTGATTCTTGAAACCACCCGGCGGCCAAGTGTTCATAATTGATTACCTTCCTTTTGCTGACGTTTTATTATTTCGTTTCGTAAATTATTATTATATAAACATCATGTAATATTCTTTCCCCCGAGATCTCTAAGAAACAGACTGACATTTTAGTGAAAAGCGTTTACGAAATAAGAGGCTTCGGCGAGTTAACGTCGTAGATACCGAAGATGGATCACTGAGCAGTGAATTGACCTGAGAAACAACGGCTCCGCGAACTCACCTGATACGAAGGGAGAGTGCTGTTGCACGACTTAACCGGCGACGTCTGCTGGTCTGACGGGAAGAGTTCCTTCGCGGTCGGCGGCTGCGGTGCGGGCTTCTTCTTCCTGTGCGTACCACCGACGGTCGCGGCCGATTCGCAGCTCGCCAAAGAGCTGTTGGACGCGTACATATCTCCACGATTGAAATCGCTTCTTCGCAGCATCACGTTCACCTCACCAGGAGTGGTCCTGCCGAGACAGAGAGAGAAGTTAGCGCGGTCTCACCCGCGGATGCCAACTACGTCGGGGCAGAGTACGTACTTGATAGTGCGCGGTTTCGGGACGGGCGCGTTGCTTCCTAGCAGCGTCCTGTCCCGGCCTTCCGAGTCGCTGTCGCGCTCCTCCTCCTCGTCGCTCCAGAAAGAACGGAAATTGATTTGCGGTGCGGCCACAAGCCGTTTCGTGGACGCCGCCGCAGTCGTCGTCGTCGCGCCTCCTCGGCTCTCCGGCTTGCTGCTCCTGGCTGCCGGTTTCGGCGGCGGTGCGACTCCCTCCTCCTCCTCGTCGTCGTCCTCACTGTCGAAGGGATTGGTCGACACCTTGCCGCTCCTCGACGAGCCGCCTTTCGCGCTACTCTGCCGTTTGTCTTCCATGACGTTGTCCTCCTCGTCGCTCTTGAACGGATTCAGATCCTCCGGGTAGTCGTCGTCGGTCGCGACGACGCTCAGGTCGACGGGATCTGCGCTCATCGGCGACTTGTTCTCCGCGCCGGTCTCGGAGGACTTCCTCTTCGTCGTTTTCGCGTCGTTGTCTTCTGCCCCGTCGCTTTTGCTCCTCGCTAAGTTCTCTCGTTGCCTCTCGATACCTATCGGACTCTCCTCGATCTCTCGGTTATCATCGAGACGTTCTTCGCTCTTTATCCGTACGATGTCGTCTCCCGAGAAGCTGTCTTCCTGTCTCTCGGCAACCGGATTCGCCGAGTCTTCTTCTTCCCCCTCTTTCTCTTCCTTTTCTCGTTGTCCATCGACATTCGCGACGCTCTCTTCGTTGTTAATCATCGATCCCTCCCGGAGCCGCTCCTCCGGGCGTTCGTCATCGTTCGGCCGAAGAACGTCCGGTGCCTGGCCCCGGGAGTCGGCGACCTGAGCGTTGTCCCCCGTGACGTCCAGCGCCGTAGGACTCGTCTTAGTCTCCCGCAAGGCACTCTTATTCTCGCGATCTTTCTTGTCAACCTTGCCAACGTGGCCTACCTTGTCGTGAGCCTCGAACATTTGCAGCCTCCGCTGAACCAAGGACATGCTGCTCGTTGCGGAATTAGCGCGTCCCGACGACTCTTTGGTATCCTCCGTTTTATTATTCTTATCTACGTCATGGAATGAAATGGCAGTCGGTCGCTGATCCTCCTTACTTCTAACGTCTAAGCTATTTAACGCGCTATGTACATCGTATCGCTCCACGTTGGAGCCCTTCTCGTTGACGGGCAAATCCGCCGTGGAGCTACGGGAATCTACTCCCTCCTCCTCCTCATCATCCTCTTCTTCTTCTTCTTCTTCTTCCTCTTCTTCCTCCTCCTCCTCCTCCTCTCTTCCCTGCTCCTCCTCCTCCCCGTCCTCTTGCTCCTCATTCTCGTCGTCGTCTGGGAATGCCGAATCGATCCTGCCTTTCGCTCCCTCGCGATAATCCGAGTCGACCTTGACGTTCTTCGCGTCCCTCGCGATGGACTCGTCGATCTTCTCGGAGAGAAGATGGCTGGCCATGAAGCTCTTTCGCATCTGCGACGTGTGGGAGATCAGATCGGGCACCGCAACCTTCTCCAGTAGACTTCGCGCGGCGACCTGCAAAGTGAAATCTCTCTCGTCAACCTGGCCGTGACGTTTCCTCAGAGTTTCAACGAGAGCGCGTATGGTTAGCGGACGGAAGCTTGCGAGAAAATGCCACCTTTTCTCTTCGACGACGCATCCATATCTGATGCATTTTTTTTCTTATACACGGAAGAAACAATTTCACTGATGCAACCGAATTTTTCGTCGCCCGAGGACGAGACTCAGTCGAGGGAATAGGAAGATCGCAGGAGGCTTCTGCTCAATCGAATGTTCTCCGAATCTTCGCAATAACAGAGAGTATCATTTCTTGCCGCCGGATTTTTATCCGATTCTTATTTAGTCGCAGGAACCGAATGATAGATTACTGGAAATCCGATATCGGTCGCTGGAAAGGCTGGAATCGGCGAATGATCAGAGAAATTAAGTTTCCTCATCTGACGATTCTAATGAAAGGGAAATGCTACTTGCCTTCCCCTTGCGAGTACCCTAATATATAGTTTTGGTCGACATTTCTCGACCAAGGTTTCCTACATGTCATAGATGTTCGATGCTTCGAGTTGGTGTTTCAAAGTAGTTGATGTTGCCCGTTACTACCGCCGCTACGGGGAGGTGCCCCTGGGTATCTATTATGGAACGGTTCGGGAACCGTTTCTGATCGGAATCGCTCAATTATTTCTTAGATTTCTACTATACTTTTCTAGGGAATAACTGAACGATCGGGAAACGTTTCCGACCAGTTCCGATAACAGGTGCCTTAAACGTCGGGATATCGGATGAAAATGCCGTTTACTACATTCTTCCGATGCTTCAAAAAGTATATTTCCGAACGAAGTTCGACTTGGAGAATCGTGCCTATGGAACATTTTCATCCGCCGACAATATATATAATCTTTCACTTTAGCTAAGTCCTGCTATTAGCCAGAAGCAACACAAAAAATAGACAAGATTCTTTTCCTACCGTCTCCTGACCGGAAGATACATTTTTACAGACGAACTTTTCAGTTGCATTCTAACGTATCAGACGCATTTTAAAGTCTTCATCGAAGCAAACGTCTCTCTCTTCCACTGACCGTGCTCGATTGTGAATCATAAGGGGGGAAAGAAAGAAAGAAAAAAAAAAGACGGAAGAACGAAAAATCGCAACCTCACCTTCCTCCCTGTCTTCTCCTCATCGCTGAGAGACGACCTCGTGGATACCTCGTTCGTCTCCCGTCCCGCCTCGGCCATGATGGAGTCGGTGTACTTGCGGTGCACTCCGTTGGAGGACTCCTCCTCGTCGGGACAGGTCTCACAGCAATATTGGCCCTCCTCGGTCTCGTAATAATTGCCGGGCGTCAGCTGGTTGCCGCAACGGGCGCACCGGAAGCAAGTACGGTGATATGGAGCGCGCGCTATCAGCAGCTTCTCCGCCAGGAAGACCGGCAGTCCGCACGCGGCGCACGGATCCCTCCGCATCCCCAGACGCGACCCCACCTGCGGTATCACGCCGACCGGCGACGTTAATCTTTCGTCTCGGGTGTTCAACGTTATCATCAAGTACAAGGGCCGTGGTACAAAAACGTAAGCAACAAACGAACCGACCAATCACGGCCGATTCAATAGTCGACTGACTGCAATCGGCCGATTTCCTTGCTGCTTCAGTCTTACGTCGTTTGCCATAACGACGCGAACGAACGATGTTAACACGACGCAGACACCTATTCTCTAAGTTTCTTCGAGTAAAATTGCCGTTGTGCTGAAATTCCCGACCCGTGATCGTTCGGCTCGTTTCGCGCTCCGAGTTTCCTTCAGAGAAACCCCACTTGAAAAGCAGAGCCGCAGCCGAGTCTCTCAGATTCGAGCGACGTTTCACACACACTTACGGAGCGAATCCTTCGCTCTTCGAGTCGTCGAACGAATATTTTCCCTCGAAATCGAGAAATGGAACTGACGTTCTTTTTTAGTTTTCAGTTTTATAGAAGTAAATTAATCCCGATCGATCGGGATATTCACTCGTACGGATTGAGGATCTATTGTAAGTTTAAGTTAAACGTTCGATCTTGTAATGTTAACCTAAGTCGAAATTTTGATGCTGCTTTGACGATCTTGAGGACAGTTTGGGCCTACTTAGATGGTCCGCAGATTAACAAAAATCTACTTTGAAGATACTGTTGTTAACTTCTCTCTTGAACCTTTAATTCTACAGATTTAGTGATTTTAATGCCGCACGGAGAAGAAAAAATTGAGTTACCGCGACAATGAACGAACGAAAACGTCGTTGTCGTCGACTAAATTTGTACTTGTAAGAACCAGAATTTCGGTTTCCTCCGACCAAACACATTCGGTTCGTTCATTGTCACGTAAATTCAATCGAATCTTTTCTCTCCGTGCCCCTTGAACAACGTATTTTTACGCTAAAACAGCGAAAACGAAAATTTAAAACATCATCAAAGCAGAAATAAGTTGTATTATTAGAATTGAAACTGCGAACCTATTTTGCTATCTTAGCTCCTACCGTGAATTAAAAATTCAACATAGAGTTAAAATTTCGACCCGAGGAGTGGTGGTATTTTCATGATCGCCTTTGAATGAACTCTTACTCGTTTTGAGTTCAAATTTTCCGGGATTTATAGAGTAAACCACCACCGCTATTACTATCACCAACACCATTACCACCACTACTACCGACAATTGACCGGGATCGTCACATCGCGAGGCATGTCCACCACTCGAAGCCCGTGCAAGGGATTCCCCTGGGCGGAGAATTCCAGGTCTTTCCAGGCGGCGAGCCAGCAGCCAGTCTCTCTTACTCCCTATGATACATCTGTTTCGAACGCACGTCGATTTTCGTACCGGTGAATTTGAGATCGGACTATTATTTCAGGAGGTCACTTCCGGTTAGAGGAGAGCGCGCAACTGGAGATAAATATTGGCAAATTGTAGGTCGCATTTGTAACAAGCCATTGGATATCAAGCTCGTCCTCCTCTTCCTCCTCCTCCTCGTGTCCTTTTGCCACTTTTACACAGCTAGCGAATTTCCACAATAACGCGCCCCGGTAGGCCGGCGGCCATACATCTCTTCTCCTCGCTCGTATTATCGCAATATGCATCTAGTGTCCGGCGAATCCAATAATGCATCGAATCGACGCGTGACTTCCATACGGAGCGCGCGGCGAATATCAACGGGGTACCTCGAGGGCGAAGTACTCGGACAAATCGTCAAATAAATAAGAAGAAAAGAAAAATCCGGGAAAGGTGCATTATCACGTCGATATTATATTCGCGGAATATGCGCGGGACGTCGCGTTCGAAGGAACAACGCGACCGAAAGCCGGAATGATAATGTTAATCCTAGTTACTGCACAGTAGTCTCGGATATCTTTGTATGTGTAAAAGTGAAGTTTACAAGAAGCAGACATTTTTTAACAGAACGTGGAAATATGAGACGAATCTGGCGAAGTATTTGATTTCCGCCGACTTCAGCCCGCTTATGTACTTACATACGCGAATTAACGAGAAGAAATAATAATCCGTGCAAAATAATTACTCGAATATTCCTCAAATATTCACTTGGAATGTAGCACTTTTTTCTTTCAGTGTATGATTCCATTGAAAAGAAAGAAAGAAAGAAAGAAAGAAAGAAAAATTAATTCCAGGTAATTGGATACCCAGATAATCCGGAAATCCCCGGGGTTTCACCAACAGCGTTGCTTCGAAGAAACGATTCGCACACGTGGAATCGAAGTTTCTCCCCCTCTCTCTCTTTCTCTGTCTCTCTTTCTCCGGGAATTTCAGCTGCTCGGTCCACGGATTGTCGAAGACGCGGCGAGAGAAAGAGATTCGGCGAAATTTCCGTCGCTCTCGGAGACGGTCATCCCGGTAACGTGTCGCGCCCCGATCGCGAAAAGTTTCATTCGACATTCCGGTCGCTTTATCTGTCCACGGACGTTATATATCGAGCGGTGCCTTTGCGCTGGAAGGATAAAGTCCGCCGTGTACGGACGCGAAAGATCGAAAATTTCTATAGGCGCGTGTGGAAAAGCGTATCGCGATGAAAGATTCAACGTTATTCATCGGCGTGTATGCACGCGTTCCGTGCGCAGCGAGAAAAACCGCGGAATAATCGAGAAACGTCGCCGTCGACGACGATGTCACCGCGTTTTTCTCCTCGTTCAATTCTTTTTCTCTTTGCCACACACACACACACACACACATGCACGTATGCCCGAACGGCCGTACGCTAATTCCCCACGCTGAAAAATCGTGCCGGATGATAGGTTGCTAACCGCAAGATCGATTTCCATTAAACTTTCATCGACGCCACGTGCACGGGAAGTTTTCTATAGGCGGACAAAATAAAGCGGCGATCGATCTCGAGTATTAGTACAACAAAATGAAGAAAAAAGGCTAGAAAAGAAAGAGCGTTATCCGCCCTCCGCAATTTCTATCGCGCTGGCTCTCTCTCTCTCTCTCTCTCTCTCTTTCCTTCCTACTCGTGCGCGTTAAGCTAAATATTATCGCGTCATGTAACGAATGATGCGCGCGCGCGTTACTAAATGCATTAGCGCGACGCGGCTGACGCGATTAATAGCCATTAATTAAACGAACCTGGCGTCGAGGAGCAGCGGCTTCCGTTAAGCTCTTGCACCGCGATATTTCGCGTCGTCGATTACGGAGGAGGAGGGGTCTGAGTCTTCAGGGAGGAGAGAACAAGAGTGAGAGAGAAAGAGAGAGAGAGAGAACGCATGCAGACATCCCAATGTTCCGTATCGATTTTCGAGGTATTAAGCACGCGCGATTAATTAATTTGATCGATGACGATAAACGCGACGTTATATTATGCGACCGGTAACCGGTTTCATTCGAACGACATTGTTGCAACCAGAATCGAGCCGATGTCGACCGCGTTTTCGTCCTCGTCAGAAAAGTTTCGGACAGTCGGTCCCATTTCAGACGCACAGCGTTTCGGACGCGAAATATGCCCTTCTAATTCTGAGTCCTGTTTTTCTTACATAAGCGGAGCGTTGTACAACGTTGTTTCAGCTTGGGAATCAGGCAGGCGACTTTCACCAAAGTCCGATTAAGCTAACCGACGATTTAAAATTGCTGCCAGTCCCTCGAGATAGAGCTATTATCCGCTAACACCGATGAAGATTATTAACTTTTCAATGATTGTTAAGCGACAACAGTTACAGAACCGGAAGTTGGTGTCGGCAATTCTTATTATTATTATTCTCAACGATTTGGCTAATCGGGGAAGTTCGGCGCAAGTCACCCTCACCGATACGCGTCCCGAGTTGGAATTTTTTATTCTGCATTAATAACTTCAAGGGTAAGGAAATAAGTTGCCATATGTAGTGTAAAAGGAACACAATCAGTGCTCCTTTAATGTTACAAATAGAAACTGAAACCTCCGGAGTCCAAATTTCAGTTATATATTAAGTCTTCGAGTGAAAAAAAAAAGAAACGACAATAACTATAATAATTTATAAAACCAAAGAAACATAATAAAAGACCTTAGAAGACTTGATGTAGAATTAAATTCGATTTAAAGTGGGACTAAAATTTTCCCTCTCCCTCCCTCTTTGTCTTCCTTCTCTCCCATTCCTAGAAAATCCTTCCAAACATTTTTCCTTTCTTTATCGCGTACTACCACCGCGTCACGAGTTAATTAGCCTTGAGTAACCACTTAGCTCAAGATCAAACGAGGGATGACGATAATGGAGGGTCAGCGGGGGAGGGTCGGCGGGAGTTTAATTTTGCGAGACGTTCTCTCTTACCGTTCAGCCTTCTCGGCGCGCGACGACGGGAAACGGAATACAGAAACGATTCGACTGTGTAAGCTCGGACTTGTAGAGAGGCTGCTGACCGCGCGTCCGATTTCTATTGCGTGAGTACGTGCGTGCGTGCGTGCGTGCGTGCGTGCGTGCGTACGTGCATGCATCGCATACGTACACGCAACGAGTGGCAATGACATATAAATAGAACGTCGCGCACCGGCGAGTCTCGCCGCGCTCGCCGGTGATTAATTACTTTCCTCGACGTTCACGTGCGGAGTTCGCGATCCCCCGGCGGCGACGTCGAAGTACTCGACGACCCGCGATCGAGTCGTAAAGCTCGCGAAACGCGAGCAACGAGCTTTTCTGTGCTTCTCGGTTTTCGAGAGGAAAAAAAAAAGAAAAAAAAGCACACACGCGCGCGACTCGGGACGTCGCTTCCGGTAGTCGGAATTTATTGGCCGAATGCTCGCTCGATCGACTGCTTCTGTCGAAGGCACCAAGCGACGACGACGACGACGAAGACGATGAGGAGGAGGAGACCAATGGGCGACGAGTCGTCCGGAAAAGTGCGAGGCATTGCCACCGCCAAGCGGGATTGACGGTGATCGATCGCTTTTCCCGGATCGATTCTTTCAACCGGCAGCGTGGACGGTCGCAAGTAGTAGAGACCACGCATAGTATATGTGTATGTATTTACGGACGAGTCGTTCATGT